TTTCCTCCGCAAAGTATTCATCAACAATTCCTTTCATCAAATATGGACAAAGAGATGCATGCATATAATGTGCAAAGTCATTGGTCAAGGTGAAGTTTGATCTAACGAGGTTTTCGTTTGATTTGTTTCCTGGGTACTCTAACCCTTCCTTTTGATCTTTAAAATGACCTCTGGATACTTAAGAATATGGAGGGAAAACATCAACCTATGCTCCTATACTACATGCGCCGTAGTAGCTTTTTTTTTTTTTTTTTTTTTTTTTTTCCATGAAGCCTCTTATTGATTTCCAGTGTGGAGCCTCATCGTAGCATCCCGTACATCAGTTTCTCCTCACATGATTGTTCTTCTCCACTTTTTTAGGCACTACTCTTGTTATACCTCCATTTTTTATTTTTTTGGATAGCGTAGTCGAACGCTAGTGAAGACTGAGGCCTATTGTTCGACAAGAGGGGCAATGAATGTCCCACCTGCAGCTGCCCTTGTTTCTTTGGCGGTAGATATGGAGCACTTAAGAAGTTATGCAGTTGTCAAAAAAAAAAAAAATTCTTTATTTACTGGTAGTTCCTGTAATAGCAATAAAAGAGGTAAGGCATTCATTGTCTCCTTCTTGCCGAACAATAGGCTTTAGCTTTCACTAGCCACTCGACTGTGCCACCATTCATCGTTCTCAGGGTTTTTGTAGCTCTGGCCTTGTTAAAATGCTACAGATATGCTTCTGTGATTCTCTGCATATTAAGCAGTATGTGGGATGTCATTTTCGATTTCATTCCAATCTTGTTGTCTAAGTAGCTTATTTGTGTAAATACTCTACATGTAGATCATGAGGAAGTGAGCTATAGTTGTCATTTGGAGCTGACTCAATCTCCTTAATCATTGTCAGTCTTATCGTTATAAATCTTCTCTTCTGGTTTTCAATTACCTCCTCCGTGCCTTTGTAGGTACCTTTGTAGGCTTGTTTCCCTTTCTCTAATAAAGAACATTCTCAGGTAAGCTTTATGTTCAACTATCTCAAATAGAGTATTGTGATAAATAGCTATCTTTAGACTGTATTATACTTTCGACTGCATTTGTAAACATAATCCCAAAGGTCTACATACGGTCGTCAATTGTAAGGCCTCTCCACTATGCTTTATGGAGGCTTATCTGTTGAGAAATCTAGGTTTACTTGGCTAAATACTGGCTCATATACTGACTCAAGCCATAGTACACAATACTCGCTCTTTACTTTTGCCCACTCTTGAATCTTTTCTCATTCTTTATCATCGTGAGATATCCATCATTATCTGCTGTGAAAGCAAGCCCTGATATGACGGGAGCTATGGATGGTGCTCGAATGGGTTGACAACAGGCGGTCAGAGCGAGCTCTTCTACTTCCGTTTTGCCGAGCATTACATCCTGCGTGAATATAAAGTTTAGTTGCCTAAATACCGAAAAATTCATAATTGGATAAGCAGCGTTGTAAGCCTTTGCAAGACTCAAAGGATGAAGTGATGGCGCGAGGAGGAAGATGATGCATAGCGATGAAACGAAATGCAATGATTACTTATAACGCAGTACAATAGAACGGCTGCTGTACCTTTACATTCCGAGCAGGCTTTGCATTCCACCAGACTCACTAAAACTCACATTTCATCTGTTGGTATCGGAGGCTTATTTTTTTACTCCTTCCACATGGCCACTAATATGTATGCAATAGTTTTAGATTAGGAACCTGCTGACGAGGAAATACACTAATTGGAAATAATGATGATCAACCTATACTTTAATTGTTCGAACATAGGGATGTAAATATACCTCAAATGAAGAGTGAAAAAGGATTGAATGTGGTGAGCGGAATGGTTGGAGAATATCAGAAAGGAAAGGAGCAGTAAAAAGAAGTACTATTTAAGCACAAAGGGCCTTCGATATCTCCCCGAAGCCTGCAAACAGAGGTCATTAACCAAGCTCAGGGGAAGTGGCAGAGGGTAGCCTCAAAGAAAATACCAAGCAATACTGATAAGATCATGCGTAGTAAGATTTCTATTGATGTTTACTATCAGTGATCAATACAGTCCCCGTGTCGTGCCCATACCTTCGCCTCTGGCTTCATGGAGTATTACTGCCCTAAACAAAGAGGTTATTCATCAGAGAACTCAGTTGCGAACTACACAACAAAGTAGATACATTATAAACATAAGGAAGAATATCGGCAGTGAATAAGAGAGATGCCTGTCTGAAAAGCTTTGTAGATCATATTCCGCTTGTATAGCTCCATATTAGTCGGCAGTGTACTGGTGAATCAAGCACGTATTCATCCAGATGAGAGATCGCTGGTCTGTTGAACTCATAGGACGAATCTGCAACATGTACAGTCACCCGAAATAAATTATTGAGATTAAGAATATTTATTTACATTTTTTGAATAATCTGGGCAAACAGCTCATATGCAGCATACACAAAGACTTTATCAATCAACATGAAAGTCCGTAATTTTATCGAAAAGGCTATTGTGGTTATTTACTGAAGTTCTTGGGGTATATTAATTGACTAAGAGAAGTACTACGCGGGTTCAATAACCAGTGTACCTTCCTTTGGCCCCCTTCACCTCTATCAACCTTTCTGGCATGGAGTTAACAAGGATAGCCAGCTCCGCTTGTGGCAACTTGTCCCACTCCTCAACCAGAGCCGCTCCGAGGCTAGCGAGATCTCTTGGCCCTTTGGTGCGTCTATCAAGTGCAACCGCGAGAAGTGACCACACGTGCTCAATGGGGTTTAAATCTGGAGAGCATGCAGGCCAGTCTGGAATCCTTGAGATGTTGTTATTTTCGCGCCATTCCCTTGCAACTTTGCATGTATGTACTGGTGCATTATCTTCCATGAGAATACCATCCTCCACCTCAGCCATAAACCTGGCTAGCTCACATTTATACACATCTTCCACGAAAGATGGTCCATCCCTACGCTCTCGTTGAAATATAACCAACCGGGACCTTCTGGTCGCTGTAATCGCTCCCCAGGCCATTAGGGATGTCCTACCACTCTTGAAAGTAGGCGCAACGCAACCGTAGTCGTACTTTTCCTGTGCTGTGCGCCAAACTCTTATTTTACGAAAGTGCGCACCAACTTCAAAGGATGACTCGTCAGACCAAACTACCCGACTCCAATCTTCTATAGACCATTTTTTATATTTTTTGACAAACTTCAGCCGCCTCTCTATGTGCTCTGCGCTTAAGAATGGTTTAGGGACAGCAACCCGGCTGAAAATGCCTAAGAAATGCAGCTCCTTTTCAACTGTCCTCTTACTCACTTTTTTGGGCAATAAGTTGGTGATCTCCTGAAGAGTAACCCTCCTTTCTCTCTTACTATTGCGCACAATGCTTCTGATGTCGCGAGCACTCAGTAGTTTTGGACGTCCTGGGGTTTGGGCGCGAGCACTGGTTCCTCTTTCATGATATACCTTGATAATGTGATAAACTGTTGATAGATTCACGCCGCGTTTCAATGCGATATCCACGCCTTTCAGGCCTGCGAGATGCATTTCGATGATGATGCTTTTAGCCTCGATATCCAGGTTTTTTTGGCATGATGGTTATTTCAAATTGTTAATATATGGATAATGGGAAAGGGAGATATTGAAGACAATTGCTTTTTATCGCGTAGACCATTTTGAATTTTATTATCTCAATAATTTATTTCGCGTGACTGTACGTGTAAAACTCTCTCAGGTTGACGTATTTTAGACTTTTCCTAGATTGACCATCGCCCCCACTCACATCCGCCTCCTGCTGGCCGTCATTGCTACCTTCGTCTCCGGGAACTTGGTGGAGTGAGTGCCGTTAGACCAAGGGCCTGAGCTTGGCTGTTCTTGGAATAGAGCAAATACACTCTTGCTGAGAAGAGCAACCTGGGTCAAGTAAGCACTACATTCAAGTTTGGTTGCATTTTTAAGCCTTTCTTTCCTCTTTTTCCTCTCTTCCGCCCAAGTAGGGTAGAGTCAATAGGGCTATAAGCCCGGTTATATTCCTCCTCCTTTTCAGTTTCCTCCTCCACCCGTCCTCCTCGCGCTTGGTAGGCGGTGAATGTCTGACAGATGAGCATGTAAAATATATATATATATATATATACTTTTCTCCCAGTGAAAAGTGAAAGTAAAGGTAAAGTCTATGGTAGTAAAGAATCTGATAGAAAAAGACTTAAAGTAGTAAAGTAGTATGCTAAGAGTTCAGGTCCACAATATATACACATTGTAGACATGACCTTTAATAGTATGTGCGGTGTACCGTACTCAAAGGGCACATCAATAGCGTCAGAACTTGCATAATACGTAATGAGTAGCGGAAGTGGAGGTCAAATTTTTCTGAGTAAACATATTTTTTGGTGCCGAGATTTGCAATGGAGAGAGAGCTGCCCTTTATTTTCTCCTTTCATTAATGAGGTATTTCTTCTTTTTTTTTTTTCCATTCTGCATATCATTTTAGTATATAAGGAGAAGAAGAAGAAGAAGGATCAAGGCTCACTCCTTGGCCTAGTTCGACAGACCCACAGCTGTGTGGAGGATACACTGGAAGCACATGCTGGCAGTGGCTATAATTTATACCGCTGTATGGGTTCAGTGTTGATCTAGATGAAGATGCTGAAAGATCAGCAAGTCCACTGCCACTGCCTAAAAACATCATTTCATGGCATGGATAAATATCCCGGTGATTTGTTACGATATTTTGGCTAGCAACTGTAGGCGGGAGCTTGATGCGTTCCATAATTCCATCACGAGTCCCGCCTATTTGGTTACGTCCGCTTCCACGCGGAGAAGCGGTGTAATAGGTGGTGGAGACAAGAGGTGACCTTTATTAAATTATTATTACAAGCCTTTTATAGGCCTAAGACTATATACTGTGGCAAGCGGAGACTCTATCTATGTTTCTCTCTCCGATGCCTAAGTAGGTCATGGTTCCTCTTGTAGCTCTTGTCTGCACAGTCCCAACAGACAAACGGCCTTTCTGTCGAATGGCTTACGACATGAGAGCGTAGGAGCCCTTTGGACTGAAACTCCTTGCCGCAATGTGGACACTTTGCGGCCCCCTTGCTAGCTATGGGGGAAAGGAGTGTCGGAGGCTGTGTGGCCCGTGGACTGGACTCCGCCATTGCCTGTGGTGCCGCTCTGAGCGCTACTGTTGGTAGCGCTACCACCGTGGCCTCGGAGGAGATGCTTAGGCCTCGAGAGGCCCCGAGACGCCGTCGCTGGGCCGGTCTCAAACTTTCAGACGTGGGCATGTCATCAGCTGCCCGCTTGGTGTTATGCTTAGCAGCTGCTGCTAGGCCAGTGTACGCAACCGTCTGAAATGGACGCGAAGTGATCCGGGGATTTGCTGTAGATGTGAGTGTCCCCGTGTTTGCCAAAGGCAATGGCCCGAAGTTGCCTGGAAGAGGCGTCATAGCTGTGGTGGAAGCAGGCCATGGAAAGAACTGACCTCGCTTCTCATAAGATCCGCCATTCTGATATTGCTGTAGCGGCAGCTGTTGTGTTTGTTGCTGGAGCATGCTTTGTTGCTGCTGTGGAGATAAATGGTGGTATTGTTGGTAAAAAGGCTCAATACCACTGGTCGATTGCTGGTTAGGATGAGTGTCATAGTGGGAATGCTCATATTGTATCAAGTGTGGAGCTGATAGAGGAGCAACAAGGGGAGGGGAAGGAAGAGTGAGCGCTGTCGGAGGTAGTGGTGGTGGCAGTGATGATGGTGAAGGCGACGGTGATGACGATAACTGTGTTAGTGGTGGTAGCGGGAAAGGTTGAAGATGAGAGGAAGGGTGCATAACTGGTAGAAGTTGTTGAGGGTGAAACTGATTATGAAGGAAAGCGGTCTGAAGCCACAGTTGATTTTCTTGAACCTGACGTTCTAAATTTTCCTGGGCCCAATCCTGGGGGATTGTCATCAGCATGGTGCTCTCTGGCTCGAAATTATGGCTGCTGTGGTTATCGCCAGGGGTCAATAGATGATAAGGGTCGATGGCAGAGAGGGATATGGGCCCGAAATCAGCGCAGACTAGAGGCTCGGAGCCTGGTCTGCTTGGTTTGAGTGTATAATCTATTGGTTCAATAGAGAGTTGTGGTGATGGTGCTATTGGCGGCGTAGAAGAGGCGGCATCTGTTGTAGAGGGTGGTGTCAACGATGACGACGAGGGTAATGATGATGGGTTCAGGAGAGGGGAGCTGGTTAGCAATGCCGAGCTGCATGTCGTGGACTTGGCTGTGGTACTGGAGCTGCAGTGGTGCTCACGGCCTTCAAGATTCTTATTCTGGTCGGCTGGCTGCATCGGCAACGAGGCGAGGACACGGAGCAATTCGGGGCAAATGGATATGAGAGCGAGGACGTCCGGGAAGAGAGTGGACGTTCTGCAGGGTCTGTTAGCTTTGATTGGGCTGAAATTGACAAACATGCACTTTTCATCCAGACAAAACACGCACGCACGTTCACAAACAAACAAAACATTTGTTCAAACTCACATTTAAATAACTACTTTATAAATGTATGAATTGTTCAGCTCTTTGTCTGTATTGAGAAGCTGCTGTCGCTACGCTCGAGGAAAGCAGCGTTACTCGAAGCAGAAGAACGGGGTGGACAGAAGGATGGAGGGAAGTGAATAAAATTAACAAACTAAAAGAGAAAGTGAATAGTGAATGAGCAATGCAGTGGATGAGTGCTTTGGTGTCGTTTTTTTTTATCTTACATATATATCTCCCAGTCTTTCCGAGAGATGAAGAGAAGCATGAAGAGGGCAAAAGAGACAAAGATAATGAAAAGAGAAAAGGAAAAAAAAAAAAAAAAAAAAAAAGAGACAATTGATTTAAATATGTTGCGCAGTGAGGGAAGGATGCAAAAATGCATTGCATTTGGAAATAAGTGTAATAGCTCACTCCTGGATCATTTCACGCGTCATGCCCTTTTTAAAAATCTATCTCCTGAAAAACTGTTGTTTCTTCAAGACTGTCGATCACACCTCTGCCGAAAAACTAGTATAAAATAAGAAAAAAATGCAAGCAGACAGAGATACAAAAGATTTTGGCAAATATGCAAACTCAAAATTCATCATTATTACTGCTCATAGTCATCCAACGAACTTTTCAGAACAGGGTCTGTAAATTAAAAAAGAATAAAAAAGAATTAAAAAAGAATTAAAAAGAATTAAAAAAAAATTAAAAAAGAATTAAAAAGAATTAAAAAAGAATTAAAAAGAATTAAAAAAATTAAAAAAGCGTCTACCGGTCATGCCGCTATTTTGGCAACCTTATTTTTCTTTACCGGACACAAGCAAGGTAAGGAGGAAAACACGCTCTCCTTGATACTTCCCATTGATAATCTCAGTCTGGATCATTCTTGTGCCTAACGCACGCACAATCATGCGGATGCTATTACATAGTCCACGCCTTGGGCTCAAGTTGCAAAGAAGGATGACAGATTGATCGACTTTCAACTTCAGTTTGAACGGAGGCAAGCCTGGTGGATTGAACTTGTTCAGGTATTCCACAGAGTAATGGAGCCGTGACTGCTGCTTCAGGGGCTTGAAGGCACCACGTTATTCAGCGCCCCTTGTTCAAATCCCCATTGCCTCTGCGTGTCATCAACCCGATCTTCCTTCTGTAGGGTATCTCCAATTCCTTGAGGTATCTCTGGAAAGCTGGCCAGGCAGGGTCCAAGCTCCTTCAACACTTCATTTAGGTCGTAAAGTACCAAGCTATTAGCTTGTTCCTCTGCGATACGCTCCGCAGTAGCAGTTGCCTCTCCCTGGAGCCCTCTGCATGTATGAAAGAAATCTTCTGACAGATTACTTGCAAAGTGAGCTTACAAAACCAGTGGATCAGAGGGGCTGCAGTTGATCACCATAATAGCAAACAGGTGCCGCAGCATCCTCAGTGACTGACATGTGGATGCTTTTTCTAAGCAGCGACTCGATTATTCATCATCTCGAGCAAGCCGTGAGCAAGAGCAGCTGAGTGGAATGTATCAAAGGTCTGATTGACTTCAGTCACTATGCGGAGCTTAGCAAACTCTTTACTCCTTTGGTATGCATAAGTAGCAGCCGAAGACAGTACCGTCCGCGCTCTTTGGCTGAACAAAATATCCGTCTCCTACCACGCTTGTCCCGGGTGTCGTGGTAAGGTATATCAGGGTACAAATAGTATTCTGGTACCTTTATATTGCTTGCGGTCTCAGCATTGGCCGCATTTGCGACTTCTGCCTTCGAAACTCCTTTCTCAATGTCACTATTGGGCTTGAATCATGCCATGGGTTGCGAGTCTTGGGCACAGGAGATGACCTCCTCGAGGTTAGCATCAGGGCCGAAGACCACTTGCTATTGATCCTCCACATTATTGCGAATGGCTTTGATTGCCGCGTCTTGGCCACCAAAGAGCTCTAAAAAGCGGCGTAGAATACCTTCCAGATGAGGGATTTTGACTTGACCAGTACTCGTTTACTTTTTAAATCGACTTTTTTTGCATGGTGATTTAAAGTTTCAAAATAAGGACCATGTCACATAGGCAAAATAAATTAAATTAAGGGATTAATCTATTTGACAACCATGCCTGTGGTTTATATTTTTCTCGGTTAACTTATTTTTGTTGTACTTTGTAAAAAAGTATTCGTTTTTGCTTTATTCGATTAGCGGTAGACCTCTGGTGGAGGTGTTGAATTAATACACACACGTTGACGTAATAAATCAACTATAACAAAAAAGAAAAAAAAAAATTAATCTATTTGAGAAAAATAAGGTTGCCAAAATAGCGGCATGACCGGTAGACGCTTTTTTAATTTTTTTAATTCTTTTTAATTCTTTTTTAATTCTTTTTAATTCTTTTTTAATTTTTTTTTAATTCTTTTTAATTCTTTTTTAATTCTTTTTTAATTTTTTTTTAATTCTTTTTAATTCTTTTTTAATTCTTTTTTAATTTACAGACCCTGTTCTGAAAAGTTCGTTGGATGACTATGAGCAGTAATAATGATGAATTTTGAGTTTGCATATTTGCCAAAATCTTTTGTATCTCTGTCTGCTTGCATTTTTTTCTTATTTTATACTAGTTTTTCGGCAGAGGTGTGATCGACAGTCTTGAAGAAACAACAGTTTTTCAGGAGATAGATTTTTAAAAAGGGCATGACGCGTGAAATGATCCAGGAGTGAGCTATTACACTTATTTCCAAATGCAATGCATTTTTGCATCCTTCCCTCACTGCGCAACATATTTAAATCAATTGTCTCTTTTTTTTTTTTTTTTTTTTTTCCTTTTCTCTTTTCATTATCTTTGTCTCTTTTGCCCTCTTCATGCTTCTCTTCATCTCTCGGAAAGACTGGGAGATATATATGTAAGATAAAAAAAAACGACACCAAAGCACTCATCCACTGCATTGCTCATTCACTATTCACTTTCTCTTTTAGTTTGTTAATTTTATTCACTTCCCTCCATCCTTCTGTCCACCCCGTTCTTCTGCTTCGAGTAACGCTGCTTTCCTCGAGCGTAGCGACAGCAGCTTCTCAATACAGACAAAGAGCTGAACAATTCATACATTTATAAAGTAGTTATTTAAATGTGAGTTTGAACAAATGTTTTGTTTGTTTGTGAACGTGCGTGCGTGTTTTGTCTGGATGAAAAGTGCATGTTTGTCAATTTCAGCCCAATCAAAGCTAACAGACCCTGCAGAACGTCCACTCTCTTCCCGGACGTCCTCGCTCTCATATCCATTTGCCCCGAATTGCTCCGTGTCCTCGCCTCGTTGCCGATGCAGCCAGCCGACCAGAATAAGAATCTTGAAGGCCGTGAGCACCACTGCAGCTCCAGTACCACAGCCAAGTCCACGACATGCAGCTCGGCATTGCTAACCAGCTCCCCTCTCCTGAACCCATCATCATTACCCTCGTCGTCATCGTTGACACCACCCTCTACAACAGATGCCGCCTCTTCTACGCCGCCAATAGCACCATCACCACAACTCTCTATTGAACCAATAGATTATACACTCAAACCAAGCAGACCAGGCTCCGAGCCTCTAGTCTGCGCTGATTTCGGGCCCATATCCCTCTCTGCCATCGACCCTTATCATCTATTGACCCCTGGCGATAACCACAGCAGCCATAATTTCGAGCCAGAGAGCACCATGCTGATGACAATCCCCCAGGATTGGGCCCAGGAAAATTTAGAACGTCAGGTTCAAGAAAATCAACTGTGGCTTCAGACCGCTTTCCTTCATAATCAGTTTCACCCTCAACAACTTCTACCAGTTATGCACCCTTCCTCTCATCTTCAACCTTTCCCGCTACCACCACTAACACAGTTATCGTCATCACCGTCGCCTTCACCATCATCACTGCCACCACCACTACCTCCGACAGCGCTCACTCTTCCTTCCCCTCCCCTTGTTGCTCCTCTATCAGCTCCACACTTGATACAATATGAGCATTCCCACTATGACACTCATCCTAACCAGCAATCGACCAGTGGTATTGAGCCTTTTTACCAACAATACCACCATTTATCTCCACAGCAGCAACAAAGCATGCTCCAGCAACAAACACAACAGCTGCCGCTACAGCAATATCAGAATGGCGGATCTTATGAGAAGCGAGGTCAGTTCTTTCCATGGCCTGCTTCCACCACAGCTATGACGCCTCTTCCAGGCAACTTCGGGCCATTGCCTTTGGCAAACACGGGGACACTCACATCTACAGCAAATCCCCGGATCACTTCGCGTCCATTTCAGACGGTTGCGTACACTGGCCTAGCAGCAGCTGCTAAGCATAACACCAAGCGGGCAGCTGATGACATGCCCACGTCTGAAAGTTTGAGACCGGCCCAGCGACGGCGTCTCGGGGCCTCTCGAGGCCTAAGCATCTCCTCCGAGGCCACGGTGGTAGCGCTACCAACAGTAGCGCTCAGAGCGGCACCACAGGCAATGGCGGAGTCCAGTCCACGGGCCACACAGCCTCCGACACTCCTTTCCCCCATAGCTAGCAAGGGGGCCGCAAAGTGTCCACATTGCGGCAAGGAGTTTCAGTCCAAAGGGCTCCTACGCTCTCATGTCGTAAGCCATTCGACAGAAAGGCCGTTTGTCTGTTGGGACTGTGCAGACAAGAGCTACAAGAGGAACCATGACCTACTTAGGCATCGGAGAGAGAAACATAGATAGAGTCTCCGCTTGCCACAGTATATAGTCTTAGGCCTATAAAAGGCTTGTAATAATAATTTAATAAAGGTCACCTCTTGTCTCCACCACCTATTACACCGCTTCTCCGCGTGGAAGCGGACGTAACCAAATAGGCGGGACTCGTGATGGAATTATGGAACGCATCAAGCTCCCGCCTACAGTTGCTAGCCAAAATATCGTAACAAATCACCGGGATATTTATCCATGCCATGAAATGATGTTTTTAGGCAGTGGCAGTGGACTTGCTGATCTTTCAGCATCTTCATCTAGATCAACACTGAACCCATACAGCGGTATAAATTATAGCCACTGCCAGCATGTGCTTCCAGTGTATCCTCCACACAGCTGTGGGTCTGTCGAACTAGGCCAAGGAGTGAGCCTTGATCCTTCTTCTTCTTCTTCTCCTTATATACTAAAATGATATGCAGAATGGAAAAAAAAAAAAAGAAGAAATACCTCATTAATGAAAGGAGAAAATAAAGGGCAGCTCTCTCTCCATTGCAAATCTCGGCACCAAAAAAATATGTTTACTCAGAAAAATTTGACCTCCACTTCCGCTACTCATTACGTATTATGCAAGTTCTGACGCTATTGATGTGCCCTTTGAGTACGGTACACCGCACATACTATTAAAGGTCATGTCTACAATGTGTATATATTGTGGACCTGAACTCTTAGCATACTACTTTACTACTTTAAGTCTTTTTCTATCAGATTCTTTACTACCATAGACTTTACCTTTACTTTCACTTTTCACTGGGAGAAAAGTATATATATATATATATATATTTTACATGCTCATCTGTCAGACATTCACCGCCTACCAAGCGCGAGGAGGACGGGTGGAGGAGGAAACTGAAAAGGAGGAGGAATATAACCGGGCTTATAGCCCTATTGACTCTACCCTACTTGGGCGGAAGAGAGGAAAAAGAGGAAAGAAAGGCTTAAAAATGCAACCAAACTTGAATGTAGTGCTTACTTGACCCAGGTTGCTCTTCTCAGCAAGAGTGTATTTGCTCTATTCCAAGAACAGCCAAGCTCAGGCCCTTGGTCTAACGGCACTCACTCCACCAAGTTCCCGGAGACGAAGGTAGCAATGACGGCCAGCAGGAGGCGGATGTGAGTGGGGGCGATGGTCAATCTAGGAAAAGTCTAAAATACGTCAACCTGAGAGAGTTTTACACGTACAGTCACGCGAAATAAATTATTGAGATAATAAAATTCAAAATGGTCTACGCGATAAAAAGCAATTGTCTTCAATATCTCCCTTTCCCATTATCCATATATTAACAATTTGAAAATAACCATCATGCCAAAAAAACCTGGATATCGAGGCTAAAAGCATCATCATCGAAATGCATCTCGCAGGCCTGAAAGGCGTGGATATCGCATTGAAACGCGGCGTGAATCTATCAACAGTTTATCACATTATCAAGGTATATCATGAAAGAGGAACCAGTGCTCGCGCCCAAACCCCAGGACGTCCAAAACTACTGAGTGCTCGCGACATCAGAAGCATTGTGCGCAATAGTAAGAGAGAAAGGAGGGTTACTCTTCAGGAGATCACCAACTTATTGCCCAAAAAAGTGAGTAAGAGGACAGTTGAAAAGGAGCTGCATTTCTTAGGCATTTTCAGCCGGGTTGCTGTCCCTAAACCATTCTTAAGCGCAGAGCACATAGAGAGGCGGCTGAAGTTTGTCAAAAAATATAAAAAATGGTCTATAGAAGATTGGAGTCGGGTAGTTTGGTCTGACGAGTCATCCTTTGAAGTTGGTGCGCACTTTCGTAAAATAAGAGTTTGGCGCACAGCACAGGAAAAGTACGACTACGGTTGCGTTGCGCCTACTTTCAAGAGTGGTAGGACATCCCTAATGGCCTGGGGAGCGATTACAGCGACCAGAAGGTCCCGGTTGGTTATATTTCAACGAGAGCGTAGGGATGGACCATCTTTCGTGGAAGATGTGTATAAATGTGAGCTAGCCAGGTTTATGGCTGAGGTGGAGGATGGTATTCTCATGGAAGATAATGCACCAGTACATACATGCAAAGTTGCAAGGGAATGGCGCGAAAATAACAACATCTCAAGGATTCCAGACTGGCCTGCATGCTCTCCAGATTTAAACCCCATTGAGCACGTGTGGTCACTTCTCGCGGTTGCACTTGATAGACGCACCAAAGGGCCAAGAGATCTCGCTAGCCTCGGAGCGGCTCTGGTTGAGGAGTGGGACAAGTTGCCACAAGCGGAGCTGGCTATCCTTGTTAACTCCATGCCAGAAAGGTTGATAGAGGTGAAGGGGGCCAAAGGAAGGTACACTGGTTATTGAACCCGCGTAGTACTTCTCTTAGTCAATTAATATACCCCAAGAACTTCAGTAAATAACCACAATAGCCTTTTCGATAAAATTACGGACTTTCATGTTGATTGATAAAGTCTTTGTGTATGCTGCATATGAGCTGTTTGCCCAGATTATTCAAAAAATGTAAATAAATATTCTTAATCTCAATAATTTATTTCGGGTGACTGTACATGTTGCAGATTCGTCCTATGAGTTCAACAGACCAGCGATCTCTCATCTGGATGAATACGTGCTTGATTCACCAGTACACTGCCGACTAATATGGAGCTATACAAGCGGAATATGATCTACAAAGCTTTTCAGACAGGCATCTCTCTTATTCACTGCCGATATTCTTCCTTATGTTTATAATGTATCTACTTTGTTGTGTAGTTCGCAACTGAGTTCTCTGATGAATAACCTCTTTGTTTAGGGCAGTAATACTCCATGAAGCCAGAGGCGAAGGTATGGGCACGACACGGGGACTGTATTGATCACTGATAGTAAACATCAATAGAAATCTTACTACGCATGATCTTATCAGTATTGCTTGGTATTTTCTTTGAGGCTACCCTCTGCCACTTCCCCTGAGCTTGGTTAATGACCTCTGTTTGCAGGCTTCGGGGAGATATCGAAGGCCCTTTGTGCTTAAATAGTACTTCTTTTTACTGCTCCTTTCCTTTCTGATATTCTCCAACCATTCCGCTCACCACATTCAATCCTTTTTCACTCTTCATTTGAGGTATATTTACATCCCTATGTTCGAACAATTAAAGTATAGGTTGATCATCATTATTTCCAATTAGTGTATTTCCTCGTCAGCAGGTTCCTAATCTAAAACTATTGCATACATATTAGTGGCCATGTGGAAGGAGTAAAAAAATAAGCCTCCGATACCAACAGATGAAATGTGAGTTTTAGTGAGTCTGGTGGAATGCAAAGCCTGCTCGGAATGTAAAGGTACAGCAGCCGTTCTATTGTACTGCGTTATAAGTAATCATTGCATTTCGTTTCATCGCTATGCATCATCTTCCTCCTCGCGCCATCACTTCATCCTTTGAGTCTTGCAAAGGCTTACAACGCTGCTTATCCAATTATGAATTTTTCGGTATTTAGGCAACTAAACTTTATATTCACGCAGGATGTAATGCTCGGCAAAACGGAAGTAGAAGAGCTCGCTCTGACCGCCTGTTGTCAACCCATTCGAGCACCATCCATAGCTCCCGTCATATCAGGGCTTGCTTTCACAGCAGATAATGATGGATATCTCACGATGATAAAGAATGAGAAAAGATTCAAGAGTGGGCAAAAGTAAAGAGCGAGTATTGTGTACTATGGCTTGAGTCAGTATATGAGCCAGTATTTAGCCAAGTAAACCTAGATTTCTCAACAGATAAGCCTCCATAAAGCATAGTGGAGAGGCCTTACAATTGACGACCGTATGTAGACCTTTGGGATTATGTTTACAAATGCAGTCGAAAGTATAATACAGTCTAAAGATAGCTATTTATCACAATACTCTATTTGAGATAGTTGAACATAAAGCTTACCTGAGAATGTTCTTTATTAGAGAAAGGGAAACAAGCCTACAAAGGTACCTACAAAGGCACGGAGGAGGTAATTGAAAACCAGAAGAGAAGATTTATAACGATAAGACTGACAATGATTAAGGAGATTGAGTCAGCTCCAAATGACAACTATAGCTCACTTCCTCATGATCTACATGTAGAGTATTTACACAAATAAGCTACTTAGACAACAAGATTGGAATGAAATCGAAAAATGACATCCCACATACTGCTTAATATGCAGAGAATCAACAGAAGCATATCTGTAGCATTTTAACAAGGCCAGAGCTACAAAAACCCTGAGAACGATGAATGGTGGCACAGTCGAGTGCTAGTGAAAGCTAAAGCCTATTGTTCGGCAAGAAGGAGACAATGAATGCCTTACCTTTCTTTTATTGCTATTACAGGAACTACCAGTAAATAAAGAATTTTTTTTTTTTTGACAACTGCATAACTTCTTAAGTGCTCCATATCTACCGCCAAAGAAACAAGGGCAGCTGCAGGTGGGACATTCATTGCCCCTCTTGTCGAACAATAGGCCTCAGTCTTCACTAGCGTTCGACTACGCTATCCAAAAAAATAAAAAATGGAGGTATAACAAGAGTAGTGCCTAAAAAAGTGGAGAAGAACAATCATGTGAGGAGAAACTGATGTACGGGATGCTACGATGAGGCTCCACACTGGAAATCAATAAGAGGCTTCATGGAAAAAAAAAAAAAAAAAAAAAAAAAAGCTACTACGGCGCATGTAGTATAGGAGCATAGGTTGATGTTTTCCCTCCATATTCTTAAGTATCCAGAGGTCATTTTAAAGATCAAAAGGAAGGGTTAGAGTACCCAGGAAACAAATCAAACGAAAACCTCGTTAGATCAAACTTCACCTTGACCAATGACTTTGCACATTATATGCATGCATCTCTTTGTCCATATTTGATGAAAGGAATTGTTGATGAATACTTTGCGGAGGAAAATAGAACGACACCGTCCTATCTGTCAGTAGTGCGAGACGAGCTTTCTGATGTGTTTACCGATTTCCACAACGGAATGTTAACAGGAAGATTGAATAACAACATTTATTCAACACTTAAGTAAATGTGTTCTTTTGGCATGGGGAATTTCAACATTCCCTTAGCATGTAAACATTCCCCGGATGACAAAAAAACACTTGAGCCAGTAATTAAAAGCAACTGTGGTTAATCATGCAGAGATGGCGGAAAGCACTCTGTTCATTTCGACATGCATTGTGAAAATAAATGCGCAAGAACGCTCTGTTAATCTGGCAAATTTGCCAAGTAAATATTGTTTTTCTTCAACATACTACATACTTTAAGCCACACCTTCAGGTGTTACATGGGCGTTCATTCATTCGCTCAAATCAACACGCCTATTCACTTCATCACCTGAAGAAACATCACTCAAGGATAAAGGAATGTTGTTCTGGGAAGAGAAAGAAGAGCTTTCAGCAATGAGCATCGGAATAAAGTTCGGCCAGTTTTTTTTTTTGGAGTGGGTCTAGAACGTTGACAGAGAAGTACCCTCCAGCCTTCATTCTCTATCCTTCATTCTCCATCCTTCATTCTCTATCCTTCATTCTCCATCCTTCATTCTCCATCCTTCACATCACATAACCACTCCATTGCATCCCTTACTCTATTTGTTCGAATCACTTGAATCCTTAATGTAAGAGACATGCAAACAATGTCTGGATCATGAAAGAAAGCACTATTTCTACTCAGCACTAACAAACAGTCCTTTGACATTCTTCTTTCAGGGACGTGGGGTAGACTACAATTCAAGCGCAAAAACAAAACAATAAACTATGTTTGGCAACATTAATTCACCTTCACGGAGCGCACTCTTGCCAGCACAGGCTCTGAGACTCTTCGATTTCTACATGCAGGGAACCCGCACCATAGACGATGATAAGAACATTGTAATGGAGCTCTGTCTCGATGCTGACTCTGTGCTGTCTCGTATTCAGAAGTCTTCGCGAAAGTCCCTTGCCTCTTCTGTCTCCTCAGCCTCCAATGAAAGCATAACATTGCGCCAAGGTATTGCCATAGCCTACCATGAGCTTGCTCGCTTATTTGAACAACTGGGACACTCGGATGTTGCTCAAAGCCATGGCAAGAAAGCAGAGAAATGGGGATACATCCAAGGGAGCAGCAATAATAAAAGTAGTAGAAGCAATAACAACAGACCAAACAGAGTAGCTGCAGCAGTACCGACACAGACCATTGTCACTATTTCGAAGGACATATTCAATCACAATGAGCCTCCAGCAGTCACCAGACACAGCCTACCAGATGTTGGCACTCACTTGGATGATATCCACCAACTTGTGTATTGTCTTAGTCTTCCCCCTACTGCTTCTATCCCGACTAACAATCTTACTGACAGCGAGAGAGAGTGGTGTCAGGCCATTTCAGCTGATGAAGATGAACATGAGCGACTGTGTAAACTAGCATCGGATGTGATAGAAATGTTCATCAGTGATGAGACTAAGACTAATGCTACTGTCGCTGAGGTTGTGGCTCTGGCACCAGTTCTCAGCCAGACCCAGTTCAGGATGTTGCTCATGAATATGATCAATGGAATCAGCCAGAACATCATACTGGAGACACAGTTGCTAGAAGGCTTGGCTCAATTGATACAACGTGCTCCTCTTGGATATCTTGACTCGGATGACCTTGTCACAATCCTCAATGCTCTCAACTCCCGTTTACAAGGCACACATAGGCAATCTAGGGACCACCTCTATCGCCTCTCAGCTACAGTTTCATATGTCCTCGATGCCATGGTCAACAGCCAAGTCAAGGGTCTGAAGCGAGAACAACTCCATGAGCCACTTGCTGCATACCTCAAGGGGTTGAAAGAGAGTTCAGACCCTCATCTAGTCTACCAAGCAGCTTATGCTTCCCAAGCTCTATTGTATATTCCAGACGATGAATCACCAATGCAAGGCATGCTTCGACGGACATCAGCAGTACTTCAAGGAGTGTTTGGAGTAGTGAGCGCAGTCAAGAACCTTGATCTGAATGCTTTCATGGATGAGATAAGCAACATCCAGAAAGAACTTCCATCAGTGACAGATATCATGGACAAGAGTCTGCAAGTGTACAAAGAAACAACATCACTCTATGAGAGCGGAGTGATATTCAGAGAGCGTATGGAAGAAGGGCTGAGCTTCAGTCGCAAGTCAGGATGGTATCCAGCACTTCGAGTAGCTGATGAACTACTCCAGACAGGCGAACTGGTCAAGTTCAAGACTCTTGTGTGTGAAGTCTCCTGTCGAAATGAAGCAGCATTTCAATGGGGACTATGTCAGATGTTGGGACAGATAGCAGCAGATACAAAGTGGAGGATGGATACTCGACAAGATGCCATCACATTCCTAGGAGAGATCTACAAGAATGACCAGGAGTGGGGCAATCATGTACACATTAAGCAGTGGATTGTAAATATTCTTAAGCAATTATCCTCGTCGCCACTAGATGGTCCTCAAGGTATGTATTCCATTCTTCTTCTATGGATGTGTTTGATAGTACAGACAACAGTCAGTATACGATGACTGACGCAATTACTTTATATATTTATTCCTTTTGTCTTCTTTTCCTGTTTTATTTCCAGCTGCAAACACTCTCTTAAAAGGCCTCAAAACGCATGGAGAGACTAAAAAACATGAATTGTACATGAAGTACTTGCAGGAGCCATTGATCCGGTTCTCTTCCGTCGCCACACTTTCTCCACCCACATCCTCAAATCTGCTTGACCGTGCACAGAAGACGCCTGGTGTCGAAGATAGTCTGCGCCAACTGAAGAGGCAGCGGATGGAGATTGATAATGGCCAAGGGTTTTATATTCAACAGTATGCTAAAGCAAGTCCTCAAGCAAGCGATGACAAATTGTTCTTGTTGATGGACAAGGTAAAAGAGTTTTTGGACAGCGACCAGAAAGTGTTACTCGTCCAAGGAGATTCAGGAGCAGGCAAGTCCACATTCAACCGTGCTCTAGAGCGCACACTCTGGGATACATACCAAAAGAGACATGGTCGGATTCCACTGTTTATCAGTCTTCCAGCCATTGACAAGCCAGAGAAAGATCTGGTTGCAAAGCAGTTACGGGACTATGATTTCACAGATTCAGAGATCAAAGAGCTGAAGATGAATCGGTCATTCATCTTAATATGTGATGGATATGATGAGAGCATGCAGACCAACAACTTGTATGTCGCTAACCAACTGAACCAACCTGGAAAGTGGAGAGCTCAGATGGTGATCAGTTGCCGTAGTGAGTACCTTGGACTAGATTACCGAGATCGTTTTCAACCTATGAGCCGTAATTATCAAGCAGATGCTGAATTGTTCGGGGAGGCTGTGATCGTGCCATTTTCTGAGGCTCAAGTTGATGAATTTATTGATCATTATGTTCCTGCCATGGATCCGATGTGGGAAGTGGAGGACTATAAGCGTGCACTCAAGATGGTGCCTAGCTTACAAGAGCTTGTGAAAAACCCATTCATGCTATCGATGTCATTAGAAGTACTCCCACGGATGGTGGATCCAGATCAAGCCATCTCCAGTACCAAGATCAAACGTGTCACATTGTATGACCAGTTTGTTGAACAATGGCTCGAACGAGGAAAGAAGCGGCTAGGCGAGACATTAAGACCGGAAGATAGAAGGATGTTCCGGATATTGACAGATGAAGGATTTGCACAACATGGGCTCAAGTACCTGAAGGAACTAGCTATAGCAATTTATAAGCACCAAGACGGTAACCCGGTGGTGGATTACTCGCCATTTAAGGACAAAGGTGTATGGAAGGAAATATATTTCAGCAGAGCGAATAGGAGAAGTTTATTACGTGAAGCGTCACCGCTCACCCGTACAGGCAACCAGTATCGGTTTATACACCGATCTATTCTGGAGTACAGTCTGGTACGAGCGATATTTGATCCGCATCCAGTAATGAGTGCGTCTGCAAACGATGAAGAAGCAAAAGCAACAAAATCACCTTCTCGTCGACAGAGCATTAGTTCAGTGTTCAGTTTCGAAGGCATGAACATCAAGGAAGAAGAACAGGAAGTCGATTCAGTGGAGAATGACGAGGCGTCGCCTCTAGTATGGAGAAGCTTTGTAGATGAACCATCGATCCTTCAGTTCCTGGAGGACCGCGTCAGCCTTGAGCCGATGTTCAAACAGCAGTTATATACATATGTGGAACTCTCAAAGAGTGATAGCAAGTGGCGGATAGCAGCAGCCAACGCGATGACAATCTTAGTCCGATCCGGTGAACCATTTATCAGAGCAGATCTACGAGGCATCCAGATTCCAGGAGCGGACCTCAACCATGGTATTTTTGAGTATGCACAGCTTCAAGGAGCGGATCTGAGGAAAGTCAGCTTAAGGAAGTGTTGGCTTCGTGAAGCAAATTTGAGTGGAGCGAAGATGGCAGGAGTACAATTTGGAGAGTGGCCATTCCTCGAAGCCAGTGGTGAGGTATCGGATGGGACATATTCGCCTGATGGCAAGACACTCGCTGCAGTTATCAATGAATCAACAATCATCGTGTATGACACATCAACATGGGAGAAAATTTTTGTTCTGGAGAACAATAAAATTGGGAACAGCCTTATATACTCACCAGACAGCCGACATGTTGTTTCCTGGGGATGTGTTCCATTTACGATTTTAATTTGGGATACAAGATCAGGCGCACTGGTTCACAGATTGGTAGGCCATGTAAACGCTATCCGCTGGGTAGAGTACTCACCTAGCGGAAGCGATCTTGCCTCAGCTAGCGTTGATAACTCAGTGCGAGTGTGGGATGCCCAAACAGGCATAGTCAAATACATATTAGAGGGTCATACTGATGCTCTTTGGAGTGTGACGTTTTCACCCGATGAAAAGCAGATTGCGACCGGTGGTGATGACAAGGTATTACGGTTGTGGGATGCGACATCAGGACAACAGATGAAGATGCTGGTTGATCATGAGGCTAGGATCGAACAGATTGTGTATTCACCTGATGGCCAGGAAATTATAGCTCGTTGTAATAATGGTTACCTACGTGTACGGGATGCTAGATCTGGTCAAAAAAAGCATGACTTGGTGCATGTAAGAACTGTCCTGGGCCTGCAGTATTCACCTAATGGGAAATTCGTTGCTTCGCACACCCGGAACAAGATTTGGCTATGGGATATGCAAACAGGGAAAGCCATCCATACTTTTGAAGGACAATCCTATATAATCCTTGGTATAAAGTTTTCACCAAATGGAGAAGAGATAGTCATTAGCGATTGGGACCACACAATACGACTTTGGAGTACAAGATCAGGACAGCTCATAAATACTCTCTATGGTCACTCTGAGGAAATAACCAGTGTAGCATATTCACCAAATAACCCTCAGGTTGCATCCTTCAGTAGAGATGGGACGATACGCCTTTGGGATATTCGACCGCAGCAATCCGGTCATGATTTACATAATCATCCCAAAAGAATCACTGACGTTAAAAGTTCACCCGATGGACAGCAAATAGCTTCATGTGGTGGAGAAGCAGTGCGTATGTGGGATATGCGGACAGGACAACTCATTCATGTTTTAAAAAGCCTCGATAGGTACGCAGACATCAAGTATTCATCCGATGGTCAGTTGCTCGCTTCCCGCCATGATTCTCCACGTGTCTACCTTTGGAACGCTCGAACTGGCCAAGTCATCCACACCTTGGAGCAGCAAGGCGAACAAGATGACCGGGTCCTTACCATGGATTTCTCGCCTATTGACCAACAAATTGTCTGTGGTCATAAATATGGCAATGTGGCTATATGGGACACACAGACAGGAGGGCTTATCCGCACACTACGTAGCCATAACGCACCTGTAAAATGTGTGACATTCTCACCCGACGGCTACCAGATTGCTTCGTATAATGATAGCGGCAAAATCAGAGTCTGGAGAGCTCAATCAGGGAATCTCCAGTATGAGGTGGAAGACGAAGTAAGCAGGGGTTCTAATATCATATACACGCCTGACAGTCGGAAGATAGTGTTTAATCGCGGCTATGAGCACAGGAGCTTTCAAGTACGGAGTGCAGAAACTGGCAAGCTCTGTTACGAAACACAGCTTGACACATATCCAGAAAGTATAACATTTTCACCATGTAGTCAACAGATGGCTCTTAGGTATACAGAGCAATTCTTTAGTGTAGTGGATCTGAAATCGGGGAAGATATTGCATACATGCTTTGAGCATACCGCATATATTAACGACATAGCTTATTCCCCTGATGGAAGGTACATTGCCTCATGCAGTCAGGACATGAAAGTGCGAGTATGGAATCCGGAGACAGGCCAGTGTTTGCTTAAAATCCCATTTAAAGGTGGCTATATAGACATGCTTGTATGGAATGTCTTTGAAGGAGGCCACTTCTTGGTCACAGCATCTCAGTATGCTTCTATTCAGATGTGGCAGATTGCGCAGGAAGGCGATCAATATCAGTATTACTTAACATGGAGTACCAAGCAAACGGTCCTTGTCGCGAGCAATACATGTATCCAAGACGTAACTGAGCTAAGTGGAGTCAACAGGAGACTACTAGTGCAACATGGAGCCGCAAGCGAGCAAGCTTCCCCTTTGGCCGCAGGTGAGGCGCTCAACGAAATAGTAGCACCATCAATAGACTCCAAGTCCAAAACTGCCTCCAGCCAAGCGCATCGTCATCAAGGCAAACCAGTCGAGAAAGCATTAGGGACAGAGTCTTTAAGAAGAGGAGAACCGTTGATAAGATCGATAGATACAGGTCAATCGATCAGAGACTATCGGTTCAAATACAGCGTGTGCAGCGAATGTAGCTTTGCACACGTTATCTCATGCAAACCTCGCGAGTGAAGGGGATCGACAAACTAGAAATCATTTGGCATCAAGAATATAGTGAAGCAAGTGCTTGTTTGATCTAACTATCATAAAAAGAAGAAATGAATACACTACTTTTCAATGTCTTTAGTAATGTTGGTAACTCCATTTAATTTATTGTCACTATTTATGAAAGAGATGATTTTTTTTTAAGTAACAGAAAAAAAAGAAAAGAGTAGAAAGATTCGATCCATCAGTGGCAAAACTACACCTAAAAAAAAAAGAAAAAAAATTTTTTTTTTTTGCTATAAATAATTCTTTTTTTTCTCTCTTCCAAGTAGCACTCACTTCTACCTCTAAGAAAGAATGCATACTCCTAGGTGGGGCATAGTACTGTTATGGTTTCCCAAATCTCTTCTGTTATTTCTGGATCTTCTTCTTGATAATTGCACCCTAGATGGTCTGCCACATAAAGTGTAAACTCGTCCGACCAATGTTGCTTCATCCAATGGGCATCCTCTACTGTCATCTTTTGATTGACACGGTGGGTGGCGAGTGTTTTCAATTGGTTTAATGATTCCAACTTTTCAAGTCCTGCTTCGAGTGAGAACCATACTCCGTCGGTCTGATTAACGTGTCGGAAAGTAGATCCATGATATTGAGGAGGATACGAAAGGTCCAAAGTTTCTAATTTCACCAGAGCCGAGAGTTGCTCAAACACTTTTAGATGCATTGATCGCATGACCCCGTAGCTTTCATCGCTCTTGTCTAAAATTTCCATGATTGATGGTAATCCAGTGATGCTTGTTTTAAGAAACCGTAATCTTTTACAAAGCCATGGTTTCCCATTATCAAGACCATCAACGATATCAGAAGCTGTTATGGCATCAAAACAGAACGTAACCAAGCATTCCATATTGGAGAGACACTCTTGAGCCATGGTACTTGTGAACTTGGGGTTAGATATTAGACTGAGCTCCGTTAGATAGAGCTTATGGTTCATAAGCGAAGAAAAACACCTTGGACCGAACCCTGTTGTGCGCATGCTCAGGACATCGATATGCTCACATCGATCAAGAACTTTGGAAAGTGTCAGATCCGTTGGCTTGCATTCAGGATATCCATTTACATAATGTGCTTGTCCTCCCCTTAAACCAAGGCTATGGACTGCTGTTCCAGCGAAGAATCCGCTTCTTGGGAATTCCTCCTCTTTGAAGGAGCTCCACTCGCTGTAGTATGCTACTTTCTTCAAAGATGGAGAATGTGCTGTTAATATCCAGAAGAGGTCCATAGTGCCACTTGCTCCGAATGTAATTGACTTGAGGCTCTTGAAGAATACATTCTTAAAATGATCATTGACTACAACTCCATCAGTCGAACCCCCATAAGTCAATCTAAGCCGTGTCAGGGTTGAAGATAGTGATGTCAGGAATTTCGCCATCTTTAGATCCATTTTCGCAAAAGTAAGGTCGAGCTCTGTGAGGCGATTAAGTTGAGCCATTGTGTCGATCAAGCTGCTCCACAAGCTGTGTTCGTTCCCAGGCATTGTCCAAAAGGTCACAGATCGAAGCTTGGTGTTTCGCACAAAGAAGTTGATGAGCGCTTGAGCCTGACTTTGCCAATTCCTTGGATGGTACGTGTCCCCTGTAAACTCCACCACATTATTACAAAGCTCGAGAATTGTTGATCCTGGTCCCTCTACGAAGTGAGTGACGATTACGGTGGTTTTTTTGATCATTTTGGAGTATTTCCGCAATATTGGTGCGGACAATAGGAGTTGTTGTTCATGACTTAATTTTTCAAGATTAATTTTTCTCCATAAGAAATGGATAAATACTCTGTGCCATTCCTTGCAAACGAGAATAGAGTTTTTTAAGTCCCATCGCTTTAGATAGTCCCCGATCAAATAGAGAATATCAAGCAATAGCAATGGATTCTGAATAGTTAATGCTGATGAGTTCATCCTTAATGGAGGAATGGAAAAAAAAAAAAAAAAAAAAAAAAATCGGCCCGGGATACTCTATTATAGTTAATTCAGCAATCAATTAGTTGAAACCAATAGTAATGATAAAGATTCATTTGCATCAACTTACGAGAGGGTGATGATGGACGACTAATGGGAGACAATGGTGTGTATGATTGTGTTTAAGCTAATATGATTGTTGGCACTAATTTGCAAAAAAAAATATTAGATGCGTCAGCAGTGCAATGATTGAATCATGCCATGAGAATCAAAAAGAAGCCTGGCCTGCCGATGGAACCTGAGGACGACGTGGGAATATTTTTTTCTTTAATAACACGACGACGTAGGTATGGTACAGTGTCAAAAACTTTGGAGAGTCCTTGTTCAAATTACAAAATTCTTGTAATTGAAAGGGACCTTTTATTTTTATCTTATTCATATTTTTATTCTTATTTTTATTCATATTCTTCTTATTCTTATTTTTATTCATATTTTTATTCATATTCTTATTCTTATTCTTATTCTTATTTTTATTCTTATTTTTATTCTTATTCTTATTTTTATTCTTATTCTTATTTTTATTCTTACATGCTGAAGAGGACGCTGCCAAATGAAGTGTTTAAATAAAAAACAAGTTTAAAAAAAGGCGTCAGAATGTCATTAAGATGAATGCCATCCCACAATTTCAAAAAAGCATTTGGTTTCTCGCTAAATCAAATAGAAAACATTCCCGATTGGTTGATCACCGCAAAGTCAAGTTGATTTCAAAGAGCTAAAGAAACTTTCCCCCTCATTCATCAGCATTGGGCATTTCCCGCTAATTCAAGGCAATCAATTGAAAAAGCTAAAGAAAACCTTCCCTGACAACGTTCAAAACACTCTCATTTTGTGACAATACTGGTAGAAGCCTACCTTTAAGAAAAATGACATGGATGATGGAAGACATCTAAAAAGCTTGCTCAAATTTTTTCTTTGCGTGACAACCCCCAAGCTCGCCATTTTTTTTTATTGACAAGGATCCTAAGGGCTGTTATTAGACAATTCACCTCGTCGCCTAATTGTCTATAGTGTTCCCTATCACTTGAAAACCAATAGAATACTCAATGGTGGGTAAGATATGACGACAATAATTAGTTTTGAAGAGTGCGTAGGCAATGATGAGTGTAAAGCATAGAGGAAGATAAAGAAAAAAGAGAAAGACAGAAGAGGCTGTAGCCACAGACATGACAATAGAGCTTTGCCACCATTTTATAAATCACAAATTGGCCCCAGTCGGGAAAGGTTCTCCAAAAGAGCAGGATAGTGGAAGCCCGTCATGTGATAGGTTGAAAAAGATGATTTTTCTTCTTTTTTTGACAACCTGGGTTGTCAAATAACAAAAAGAGAAAATTATCCACCATTTCGGATAAATATCCTTTGTATTTCCTGGTTTTATAGAATTATTGACTCTCTTCCTCGATATAATGGCTCTTTTATCCTGTGGTAGCTTATTTCTTCCTGATCTGAAAATGGTTCAAGACTAGTATGAGATGAAAGAACCTATTGGGACGAATCGGTCATTGTTAGGTCGCAGTCGTAGATCTGCAATGCCACAGTCATGCTTTCTATTTCGTTTTTTTAAGCATACTTCAGTAATGTAGGCTCTCTCAGCTGTGTAGATTCGCCATCAGCAATTGCTTATTTGCTTTTTTTTTCTCTCTCTCCAGAGGTTCAGAGCATGCTAGCGTGCGATGCACGTGGGCATAGTCGATGCTGTTGCTGCTCTAGCTGTTGGTACAGTCAAAGATGTATTTGTGTTCGAGACTGAACTTGAAAGATTGTGCTTGCGCCCTGTTGCCAATAACGCCAAGAGAGTGGTGTGTGCGATGCCCCACGGCTGGCCCTACGTCCATATTCAGTCTCGTCCTTCAATTGCCCCGCTCGACATACTGGACAATTCACTATGGAAGCTCTTAGTTCCTAATAAGGAAGTTACCTGCTTGAGGTGGCCTGCGATTGTTCCTGTTGCTGCTGGTGGTTTTCAAATGGCAACGAGAGCGGAAGAGGGCCTCTGCATGCTAGCCCTAACTACAACCCCCCTCCAGTTGTAGTCGACGATTCAGCCTTTTCTTTTTCTTAAGCCAAAAGGAACAAAATTAGTATCAAGCTTCTTGTCTTTTCTTTTTTTCACTATCATTTTAGTACCGTTTCTCTTCACTTCTAAGCTTTTTGCTGTTTTACCTTTTCCTTCATTTCAGTCTTCGTTCCGAGAAAGCCATCAGGGCTTCCACTTCGCTTGCATGACAGCGCAGGTTTAGTCGCTTTTGCTTTTACAGTGCCACTAATATCCATGCAATAAAACAACTAGATTTTAGGTTAGAAGCTCTTTGGCAACACATTTCACTCTTTCCTGAATAGAGCGATTTGTCCCTTAATTAATTTATTTTTACCATGTGACATGGCCCTTATTTGAGACTTTTCCACTACGCATTTTTTTTTTTTTTCATCTATTGCCACCATGTATCTTGGACCAATAGACACGTACGGGCTTGTGAACGAATATTAGAGAAATTGAGAGCGTGTCTTGTCCAATCATGAATGTGAAAGCATAATAAAATCGTCTATTTTTTTTTTTTTTTTCTTTCCTTTTCTCAAGACAAGTTTGGAAGGTGAGTGACCTCACAATATTCATTCGTAAACCCTTGTACTCTCTAGCTCTACACTTCTTGTTTGTGTTTTTTAACCTTATGCTTTTATTTTCTATTTGTCCATCTCTCTGTCTACTCTCTTTTCCCCTTTCCTTCCTATCCCTTCTTCTCTATCCTTGGAAGGGCCACTTAGGATCAGAATATTTTTTTATTTATTTTTCTTTTTCCTCGAGAGGAGAATGACATATATTTTGAACTATGGTTTTTGCACCCTGCTTGCCGTGTACTCTGCACAGTCTTACTCTTTTACCCATACAACTTCTCTTTCCTTGAGAGAGATGCAGCAATCGCTGGCCGATGGTAAGCCAACATATAAATCAGATATTCTTTTATATTTCTATTTAAATCTATATTCTAAATAGAAACCTTTATTCAGTAAAGAGCCTTTTATAATGAGCTCTAGATATTCATGTATGATATATTGTGAAGATGTCTGTCCCTGTGCCAATTGTAGATCTAAATGTCAACAAGCGCACACGGCCTAAAGTATCTTTCAACTCTGATTATCCCAAACCTCTCATGACATGGGGACCAGGGAAGGAAGATCATCAATTGACTGGTACAGTTTCTACAAGCCGTCTTAATGATAAAACACTAAGAAGCCAGGTTGCGTTGAACACATCCTACACAGGACCTCTCCACAACATAGTTTATTTTCTCAAAGATTACATAACATGTGTGTGTGTGAAAGAGAGAGAAAGTAAAATGCAAGAGCATAAGTATAATGCACAGCTGAGACACATTACTGGAATCGATTAATTGGTTAATCTGCTGCAATAAATGAACTTTGCAAGGACAATTGAAAGAGGGAAAAAATAAAGTGGATGGAAGGAATTAATAATTTCGAATTGATAATATATAAAAGAGCAATGGTAAACTTCAATGCAACGGGTAGGTGTTACACCAAGCAGTCACATAGAGAACACGCCCAATTTGTGGCGACTGACTCGGCGACATTACATCCAGCAAAAAAAAAAAAAAAAAAAAAAACACGAATAAGGTAGAAATAATAGAGATGGACACTTGTTTATCTTTAAGCTAGGCAGAAGAAGGTGAAAGTTGAGAAATGCGCAGAGGAGTGAAGGTTATTTAGAGATGAATGGAGTGACATCGTGATGATACAGCTTGATTTGGTTTTTTGCTGGTTGGTTATTGCTGGTTGATTTTTGCTGCTGATTTTTTTTTTTGTTTGCATCCTTGGCGTGCAAACCAAGCAGGTCGGAACACCAACACAATCGTTTCTAAAACGAAGCTCAAAGTCTTCCACATAGGGTTCTCCCTGCTTGCTTTCAAAGTGCTGCTTGAGAAGCAACTGTGCCATGAGTCGATGCAGTTGCTCGTATCAATCAATCAAAACAATAGAGCTTCCATAAGAGAGCGCCACCACTGGTTCAGAAGAACCGGTGTGGTTAAGTGCAGAAAAAAGAAAAAGGGATGGAGCCGCGTAAGCGATACATGCAGAAATTAGACAATAAAAGAGGTTAAAAGATTGACGGGGGAAAATGCAGTGAGTGTATCGAGTGAGGACAGTTTAAAAAAAAAAAAAAAAGCAAAGAAAGTGACTAAAAAGATGGCAGGAAGGCAGGCTGTAAGAGCAAAAAGATCAGCGCTAAAAACGAGAGAAAGATGATCGAATTAATAAAAGTGTACTGAGGAAACAGAGCAAGCGGAAAAGTGTTGCGAATTATGAAAAATAAAGATGAAAATGAAAATGAAAATGAGAATAAGAAAATGAAAATGAGAATAAGAAGATAAAAATAAGAATAAAAATAAGAATAAGAAAATAAAAATGAAAATAAAAATGAAAATAAAAATGAAAATAAGAATAAAATAAAAATGGAAATAAAAATGAAAATGAAAATGAAAATAAGAATAAGGAAATAAAAATAAGAATAAAATAAGAATTAATCTATTTGACAACCCGGGTTGTCACTCTTATTTGCCAAGCCCCCCTACCTTGCCTGTGTCCCCAGTAAAGAGAAGTAAGGTTGCCGAAATAGCGGCATGACCGGTAGACACTTTGTTTTGAAAAGTTCGTTGGTAGTAATGATGATACCAAATCTTTTATATATCTGCCTTTTTTTCTTATCTTATATATTTTATACTATTTTCCCGGCAGAAGTGTGATCGACAGTCTCGAAGAAACAACAGTTTTCAGGAGATAGATTTTTAAAAAAAAGAGTGACGAATAGTGAGCTATTACACTTATTCAAATGCACAAATGCACAAATGCACACATGCAATGCATTTTTGGCTCACTGCACAACATATTTGAACCAGTCGTCTCTTTTTTTTTTTTTTTCCTTTTCTCTTTTCTCTTTGTCTCTTTTGCCCTCTTCATGCTTCTCCTCATCTCTCGGAAAGACTGGGGGATATAAGATAAAAAATAAAATGGCACCACTGCATTGCTCATTCATTATTCACTTTCTCTTTTAGTTTGTTAATTTTATTCCCTTCCCTCCATCCATCCTTCTGTCCATCCCGTTCTTCTGCTTCGAGTAACGCTGCTTTCCTCGAGCGTAGCGACAGCAGCTTCTCAATACAGACAAGAGCTGAACGATTCATACATTTATAAAGTAGTTATTTAAATGTGAGTTTGAACAAATGTTTTGTTTGTTTGTGAACGTGCGTGCGTGTTTGTCTGGATGCAAAGTGCATGTTTGTCAATTCCAGCCCAATCAAAGCTAACAGACCCTGCAGAACGTCCACTCTCTTCCCGAACGTCCTCGCTCTCATATCCATTTGCTCCAGATTGCTCCGTGTCCTCGCCTCGTTGCCGATGCAGTCAGCCGACCAGAATAAGGATCTTAAAGGTCGCGAGCACCACTACAGCTCCAGTATCACAGCCAAGTCCACGACAAACAGCTCTGCATTACCAACCACCTTCCCTCTCCAGACCCCATCATCATTACCCTCGTCGTCATCATCGCCATCACCTTCTACAACAGATGCCTCCTCTCCTACGCCGCCAATATCACCATCACTACAACTCTCTATTGAACCAACAGATTATACACTCGAAGCAACCAGATCAGGCTCTGAGCCCCTAGTCTGCGTTAATTTCGGGCCCATATCCTTGTCTGCCATTGATCTTTATCATCTATTGACCCCTGGCAATAACTACAGCAGCCCCAGCTCCGAGCCAGAGAGCAGAGACAGCACCATGCTGGTGACAATCCAACAGAATCGGGCCCAGGAACTTTTGCAACGGCAAGTTCAAGAAAATCAACTGTGGCTTCAGACCCCTTTCCTTCACTATCAGTTTCACCCTCAACAACTTCTACAAGTGATGCAGCCTTCTTCTTATCTTCAGCCTTTCCCACCACCACCACCAATACAGTTATCGTCATCACCGTCACCTTCACCATCATCATTGCCACCACCACTACCTCCGACAACGCTCACTCCTCCTGATGCTCCTCTATCAGCTCCACACTTGATACAATACGACCATTCACACTATCACACTCATCCTAACCAGCAACAACCAGCGGCGCTCCAGCGATGGACCAGTGGTATTGAGCCTCTTTATCAACAATACCACCATTTATCTCCACAGCAGCAACAAAGCATGCTCCAGCAACAAACACAACAGCTGCCGCTACAGCAATATCAGAATGACGGATCTTATGAGAAGCGAGGTCGGTTCTTTCCTTGGTCTGCTCCCACCACACCTATGGCACCTCTCTCAGGCAACTTCGGGCCATTGCCTTTGGCAAACACGGGGACACTCGAAAACGTCCTCTACGTTGATCCTCATCAGTATCAAAATCAGCTGAACCAACACCATCAGCAGCAACTTGCACACCAAGGTCGTATCCCGAACAAACAGCAGCGTACTGCTAAGCATAACACCAAGCGTGCAGCTGATGACATGATCACGCCTGAAAGTTTGAGGCCGGCCCAGCGACGACGTCTCGGAGCCTCCCGAGACCTAAGCATCTCCTCCGAGGCCACGGTGGTAGCGCTACCAACAGTAGCGCTCAGAGCGGCGCCACAGGCAATGGCGGAGTCCAGTCCACGGGCCACACAGCCTCCGACACTCCTTTCCCCCATAGCTAGCAAGGGGGCCGCAAAGTGTCCACATTGCGGCAAGGAGTTTCAGTCCAAAGGGCTCCTACGCTCTCATGTCGTAAGCCATTCGACAGAAAGGCCGTTTGTCTGTTGGGACTGTGCAGACAAGAGCTACAAGAGGAACCATGACCTACTTAGGCATCGGAGAGAGAAACATAGATAGAGTCTCCGCTTGCCACAGTATATAGTCTTAGGCCTATAAAAGGCTTGTAATAATAATTTAATAAAGGTCACCTCTTGTCTCCACCACCTATTGCACCGCTTCTCCGCGTGGAAGCGGACGTAACCAAATAGGCGGGACTCGTGATGGAATTATGGAACGCATCAAGCTCCCGCCTACAGTTGCTAGCCAAAATATCGTAACAAATCACCGGGATATTTATCCATGCCATGAAATGATGTTTTTAGGCAGTGGCAGTGGACTTGCTGATCTTTCAGCATCTTCATCTAGATCAACACTGAACCCATACAGCGGTATAAATTATAGCCACTGCCAGCATGTGCTTCCAGTGTATCCTCCACACAGCTGTGGGTCTGTCGAACTAGGCCAAGGAGTGAGCCTTGATCCTTCTTCTTCTTCTTCTCCTTATATACTAAAATGATATGCAGAATGGAAAAAAAAAAAAGAAGAAATACCTCATTAATGAAAGGAGAAAATAAAGGGCAGCTCTCTCTCCATTGCAAATCTCGGCACCAAAAAATATGTTTACTCAGAAAAATTTGACCTCCACTTCCGCTACTCATTACGTATTATGCAAGTTCTGACGCTATTGATGTGCCCTTTGAGTACGGTACACCGCACACACTATTAAAGGTCATGTCTACAATGTGTATATATTGTGGACCTGAACTCTTAGCATACTACTTTACTACTTTAAGTCTTTTTCTATCAGATTCTTTACTACCATAGACTTTACCTTTACTTTCACTTTTCATTGGGAGAAAAGTATATATATATATATATATTTTACATGCTCATCTGTCAGACATTCACCGCCTACCAAGCGCGAGGAGGACGGGTGGAGGAGGAAACTGAAAAGGAGGAGGAATATAACCGGGCTTATAGCCCTATCGACTCTACCCTACTTGGGCGGAAGAGAGGAAAAAGAGGGAAGAAAGGCTTAAAAATGCAACCAAACTTGAATGTAGTGCTTACTTGACCCAGGTTGCTCTTCTCAGCAAGAGTGTATTTGCTCTATTCCAAGAACAGCCAAGCTCAGGCCCTTGGTCTAACGGCACTCACTCCACCAAGTTCCCGGAGACGAAGGTAGCAATGACGGCCAGCAGGAGGTGGATGTGAGTGGGGGCGATGGTCAATCTAGGAAAAGTCTAAAATACGTCAACCTGAGAGAGTTTTACACGTACATGTTGCAGATTCGTCCTATGAGTTCAACAGACCAGCGATCTCTCATCTGGATGAATACGTGCTTGATTCACCAGTACATTGCCGACCAATATGGAACTATACAAGCGGAATATTATCTACTCCCTCATTCACTGCCGTATCTCCCCGATATCCTCCCTTATGTTTATAATGTATCTTTACTTTGTTGTGTACTCACAACTATTTATTATTTTACCTGATTTTACTTTATTGTAAACTAGATGGGCGACCCGTGGCTTCGCTCACGGTCGCTCCAGTATAGGCTTTGCCTCGTGAGACTCATTTACCCTCGTTGGGGTTCCAACACAAAATTGAACGTTTTTGACACAAAGGTTTCTTTTTTATTTATTAGGTATTAAATATTAAAGTCTTTTTTTTTATTGACATTTTGTTGTTCTTCAAACAAAAGAGTTTCAGCATCGGCTCGCTTTTTCAATAGATCATATAAACCGGCATGGAAACGAAGGTTTTGGGCAGCCCACGGGGCGGTAGCATCGGTGCCTCTCGGCGTGCTTACTGTTTCTTCAAGTGAATGCGAATGAACAGAGAGTTGGTCTTCCCGATCTGATTGATAGACGGGGCGTGTAGGAGAGAGCGGTCGAGAGTGAAGGGGAGAGCGAGAGCGAGAGCGAGGAGGATGTGGGGATTTTTGGCGTGGGGAAGATGGCTTTAGGAAGCTCTGGCAAGGTGAAGATGGCTGTAGAGGACTCTGGCGAGGGGAAGAAGAGTGCGTGGGAGATAGGTTTCTGGGGGGGGTCTGGCGGCGCCGCTTGCTTTGATCGTCGTGTTGTTCCTGGTCGTCGTCGTCCCAATTAAGTGAACGCTTTTGAGATTGGGGAATTGTATCAAGGCTATCATCATCACATGACTGATTGAAAAAAAAAAAAAAAAAAAAAAAAATATTATTATTTTGTCTAGTCTTCACGTACAACCATATGACTATGATAGAGGCCTTTACCTGGGAAGCAGGAGGGAATTGGTCGATTGAGGAGGATGAGGGCGAAAGTATTGTCTGAAAGAACGATACCAAGTTCTCCTTAGTGTTAGTCAATTATAACTCTGATTCTCTGTTGATATCCAAGACTCAAAGTTTAATAGAAACTTACTTCACTGGTATTTGGGGTCAATAGAGGTGCTTTTATAGAGACCGTCTGACGACCTTGAGAAGTCTTGGTGATGGTGGAGGTAGAAGACATAATGTATGAATGTACGTGTGTGAGAGCGAATGAGGAGTGTGTGTGAACTTTTTTTTTTGTGTGTGTGTGAATTTTTGAAAAGAAAAAAAAAAAAGAAAAAGATGGAAGAATCTAAATTTTCAATTACAAAAACTGGTATCACCACTTGAGGGGCATTTTGTGAACAGGCACGCTTTTACTTGAAACATAAATTCACAGATATGTTTATTCAAATACAATTAAATAAACTCTTCGAGGATAAAGGTATACTAAAATACAAAGATACATTAATTTACACTGGTCATACAAAATATACACTAATTTACACTGGTCTTACAGTTCTGTACAATAAATGACACTTTAGCCAAGTTACTGGAGATTGCAATGACTGAAGGAGATAGCAAGAGCAGTAGGAGCTGGGGACATAGAGATCACAGGGACAGGAAGGTACAAACACAATAGGGGCAGCAAGGTATAGGCGCAATGGAGGCAACAGAGACAACAGGGATCAGAGACATGGGGACGGCAGGAACAGGATAATATGGATTGAAGATGGTAGCGATTTTCTCAATCTTTAAGGACTTCTTGGTATATAATATTTCGCGTGCGTTTACAAAGATCTTCTGAATCATCTTGATGGGAGAGTCTGTCCCTGAGCTTTATTGATGGTCATGGCGAAGGCAGGCTTCAAAGGGAACTGGCGCCGCTGGAATACGACTGGAGACGACCCGTCCTTATATCTGATTTTTCTTTTAGCTGGAACGAATGCCGCAAAAAAAAAAAAAAAAAAAAAAAAAAAAATCGAACGTGTATGAAATATCAAGCATTTGCTGAATACATGCCATGTCTCACCATTAAAAAACGAACGCGTATGAGATGTTAAGCATTTTGCAGAGCGCAGGCTGTGTGTTTCTCCATTAGAAAACTAACACGATATCAAATAGTCCTCTCCACTTCATGATATCCATGCTCCTCAGCATCCATGGTATAGGTTGCATTTCTCTGTAAGGGATAAGCAAGGGCGGAAAGGGAAAGATGAAAATGAACGCGTATGAAATCTTTAGCATTTCGCAGGGCACAGACCATGTTTCTCATTTAAAGTTAATTTTTCTTAATATGTTTCTCAAACTCAAACTCATGGCCGTATTAATAGCGTTTGAATAAACTCATTAAGGTGCGGTTATTAAAAGGCATACGCTTGAGGCTCATTGGCGACGTTTGAAGGAACTAATGAATTATTATGTATTAATAGTTGAAGCAAGCCATCATTAAGGTCTAGTTATTCTATGCTTTAGGGGTTGAGGAAACTCATCATGGGTATCTGGTTATATACTCTTTATCAAGAGTTGAAGGGACCCGTCATTGAAACCTACTGGTTATTATTATTATTATGTATGTGAAAGGTTTAAGGAACCAATATATCATTGGGGTCTTCATTTTTTGGAAGGGCAAATAGTGCATTTATTGAAAAAAAAAAATAATTGAAAAAAAAAAAAAAATTATTTTGATTGTTAGCCTCGTGACGTGACTGCTTAATCTGAAACAAATCTCTTAGCGCACGTGTGAAACCTCTACGACTTTAAGAAATAGATATTTTTATGTAGTGTCGATTTTGTGAAAAAGCGACAGGTTAATAAAAAAATTATGCAAAGGTACAGCTTGTTTCACTTGGTCACGATACCTTATAATTTTGAATTGATTGAATAGACTTCGACGAACATTGTCCATTCATTGAATTGAGTCGGTTGTATTTCGCAAGCAAACTCATTGGCTGTCAATATATTCGAGGCTATTCAAAAAATATAAAGTATCGTGACCAAATGAAACGGGCTATACTATTTGTTGTAACGCTTTTATATTCAAAACCAGTCGTTGTACTGTTGGAAACTCTTTGTAGGCCTCTTTTTCTTCTCCTTTGTTCTTTTTTTTTTATTCGTGTATTCAGCAGCTTCTTTTTCTCTGCTGTTCACTCAATAGTCTATGCGCCTCTTCGAGGTATGTATGCAACTTCTGCCCCAGCAGCCAAAGCTTTAGCTGTATACGAGCCGGAGACCGTAGCTTTGTGACGGTCGGCTCTTACCTCGTGAGGTTAACATAAAAGGAAACGTAGTCTGTAGCAGCAAACGGCAACAGAAAGCCTCTATTTTTACAAAGGAATGGAGATGGTAGCATCAAAAGGGTCTCAGGTCTTTTATTACCACCAGAAGCCATATTGAGAGCTACATACATGTTAAAAATTATAGTAATAAAATAACAAATAGCATATAAATAGCATATAAATAGCATATAAATAGCATAAAAAACAAAACTTTTTTCTTGAGATTGTAGTTGGTAAACTAGTTGCAGAGTTGTGAGATCTGACTGCTCTAGAGGAGGATAAATATACCTATATTAAAATAAGCAGCCAATGTTCAAGCGTATCTTACAGTCAATTTCGACTGTAATCTTGACTCTTCTTGCCTTTTTGTCTTCAAGGATTCTTTCTCCTGCTCTTCCTTTTCATCTTCTCCCCCTATTATTCGAGAGAAGCGCGTAAGAGTGTATTCGTCGATAGAGCTAAAGATCCTTCTTCAACCTCCTCTGCTGTCTGTTGACTTTGCAGTTACCCTTCGCTGCAGGAGAAATTGTCAGAACTTTTCTCCTATACCAGTAATGCTTTGCCCAATATCTAGAGCATCTCAGACGTGGATTACTGCATAATACACTATCATGCAAAACTGATTCAATAATTCATTCCCATGTGCATTTCTTTTTTTCATTCCTAGAAACCGTATATGCATACACCACTCATACTTTGGTTTAATAAAGCTCCCGTCTTCTTCTAGGTCATAGTGATGCGTTGTGACATTAGCTTGTCTCATTTGAATAGCTAATTACTTTTTTGTTCATTCAGGTCATTGAATCAGTTTCACATGTGCCCATTCGGTGGCCAAAGATCTTTATTCTTTTGTGAGGCATAACCTTACATCAATAGATAGTATTCCAACCATGGGCATCACTGACAGCTTGGAGTCTCTTATGGATACCTATGATGAGTTTGCGGCAGAAGTCCACTGGGATCCTGTACCATTCAACCGATATTCGCTCCCATAGTTCATCACAGCTCTTAGCTCGCTCCGGATACCTAGAGAGCCGCCTATCCAATTCTGCCCACATGTGTTCAATAGGGTTGAGGTCAGGGGATTGTGCTGGCCACTCTAGAAGTGTACCTTCCTCCTCTGTCAGATGTACTGACTTTAAATACTTCCTAACAATCCTCGCCGTGTGCTTCGAGTCATTGTCGTGCTGAAAGACGATATCGCTTTTAGTTAGGCCCCAGTCATCAAGCGACATCTGTAGATCCTCCTGGAGTAGTTTGATGTAAAGTTGTGCGTCCATATTATTGTCAATCTTTGCAATGTATCCAGGTCCGTACCATGAGAAGCATGGCCACACTTTAACGTTACCACCCCCAAACTTGACAGTGCCTTGCACCGACCTGCGAGTGAGACGTCCCGGATTGTCGTCCCAGATCCACTGCACGCCATCAGAGCAGATTCGGTTTATTTTCGATTCATCTGACCAAATAACCTTTTTCCAATCTTCCAGAGTTCATTCCTTATACTTATTGATAAAATGCAAACGAGCTTTAATATGTCGTCGACGTAAAGCTGGCTTACGTACACGCCTCTTTGCTGTCAATCCTAACTCCTTGAGCCGTCGTCTAACGGTGGTCTCAGAAACAGCCGCTGGTATGAGCTGGTTGGCTCTGACGGTGGCCTCAACTGCAGACTTGAGTGTACCTCGTTTCATGTTCACCTTAAGATACTGCATGACACCTCTAGGTACTTTCCTTGGTCGACCCCCTTTATTGACTGGCATGTACTCCTTATTATGTGCATAGATCCTAGTGGCCGTCGCTATTGATATACCAACACTAGCAGCAGTTTCTCTAGTAGACATGCCTCCCATCATTAACCTCCTGGCTTCGTTGACTTTCCTTTGTGGAGTGGGTCTCATATTCTGTGAAGATAGAGTTAAGAGAGAGTTAAGCTAGTGTTCATAAAGGAAAGAGAGAAAAATCCTTTTTTTACTTGCATTAAATAACGTCCAAAAGCTGTCATGGGCAACATTTTAGACCACATGTGAAACTGATTCAATGACCTGAATGAACAAAAAAGTAATTAGCTATTCAAATGAGACAAGCTAATGTCACAACGCATAACTACGACGTTGAAGGAGACGGGAACTTTATTAAACCAAAGTTTGAGTGGTGTATGCATATACGGTTTCTAGGAATGAAAAAAAGAAATGCACATGGGAATGAATTATTCATTCAGTTTTGCATGATAGTGTATAAGATCAGTAATAAAGTGATACAACTCTGAGGCTAAATAAAACCATTAAAAGAGGTTTTGTATAACCACATGAACCATGAGTTAGCCTCCTTGATTGGGTTCTAATAGGCACATCACCCCGTTATTACTGATCGATGATTTTTTAGAGAAGGTAGGGATGGATCGATTACTTACCATAGTCTCACATTGCGAGGCCTCAATATATTACTGCCTGCACAAACAAATATTATTTGTATAAGAATGATTAGAACGATCCTCAAGAGTATCGACGGCCAATGGCAGCACTCTTAGGTCATCTGCTTAACAAAAAGAAGCAACCGTCTACTCCTAATGCAGCTTGGTGTGCCAAGCGTAATATACCAAGCATTTTTTACTTTCACTTTTTCATAAATAGCCAGGTCTTTTTTCGTCTCTTTTCTTTCTCACCTTCAAGCACTTTACAACACTGCAAAATCCCCCCATATCCATTTACTTCGCACCATGAAGCTCTCAACTGTCATTATCCTCTCCATGGCCATTGCCATCCTGCTCATGTTCACTCCTGGAGCTGCAGGTAGAGTCTTCACAACCGCCCGTGTTTATGCATGCTCATGCTTGTTGCTTTTATGTTCATATTCGAGTTATTTGAGTATTGTAACTGCAGACTGCCCAAGCATATTAAACACTCATTTACTATTACCTGATCCCTCTATCTGTATCTGCCTCATCCGACGCATGTTATCTTATACTTTACACTTTATAAAACCCTTATCGACGCATTCTAGATGCGCAAAGCCAGGCTTGTCGCCAATACTGCGAAAAACGATATATTAAGTGTGTCGCAAGCCATCCCGAGTCTGGATGCAAAAAATCATATAGGAATTGTTTGGAAACCTGTCGTTTACCCTAAAGGTGTTAAAAATTATGGACCATCCTTGCCTCGTCAGAGGGCTCAATGCTGCAAAAGAAATCAAAATGTAAAAACGTACACCAAACTACAATAAAAGCGGCCTTACAAAATTGCAGACCATCATAAAATACGGAAGGACCATTTTGAAGGTTTCTTTTTTCGTCATATCTTGTTAGTATTTGTACCTTTTTCTATTCTTAGCCAAACTGTTTGAGATGAATGCTGACAGCCAGGGTAGAGCCCAAACCGGCATTTTGATTTTTACAACCTTTTGCTACTTGGTCTGGATTATCGGCCTTGCCTAAACCCCTAGCCTCACTTAATGCAACAACAAAGCACTTTAAGCATTAATTGAATTTAACTCTTACGCAACCATACTTTACCCAATTTCTAGATTACTCCTGGTAGAGGGACTACGTGAGTGTATATTACCCATCCCAAGAGATATTTATTTATGATCAACATTTGGCTCCCTACCAGCCACTACTATAGAGGGCTACAAATCCAACTTTAAAGGCTTGAAGTCCGGTAACTCTGTCAAACAGCTGGGGCAATTGATATGTATCGGCTCAGTATGGTACGCAAGCTCATTATCCCTTTTTTGTGAGGGAGATTATAAGTCCGTCGTAGGCTGGTGGTGGGGTTGGAAGAGCGAACAGTTGTTCATGTGGGGGTATGCGGGACGGTTGCTCGGTGCCAACATGGTGGAGTGCGCTCCGTTCAATCAAAGGTTTAAGCTTGGCTGTTCTTGGAATAGGACAAATACACTCTTATTGAGAAGAGTAACCTGCATTCAAGCAAACACTAAGCCATATCTAACACTAGGCCATATCCCTCCTCTTCTGTTTCCCCTTCTACAACCTTCTCTACCTAATGTTGGCCGATAAATAGGCTTCAGATGGTTCGAATCGCCATAAATAGGGTGAGGATGTTTGGCAGGCGACGAATATCTCAGATGAACATGTGGAAAATACCTTTTTTTTTTTTTTCTTTTTTTTCTTTTTTTCGATAAAAGAGGAGATGAAAAGTGAGAATAAGGGTTTGTGGAAGAAAGAAAAAGATGTGGATTGGTGAGATACACTAAGAGTTCGGATCCGCAATATATATTGCATCGTACACGTACAAAACGAGAAAGTGCAAAAGTGGAAAAAAAAGAAAAGAAAAGAGTCCCGGCTCTTTGACTTCCCATTCTTTGCTCCCCTCAATCACTCGACAAAAAACAACACTGTATACACAAGGAGAAGATAAAGAGGTTGCATGACAAAGAAAAAGGAAACCCTGTATGCTTTCCTATTTTACTTCCCAAGCTCCCCTTTGGTCCTATTGTCACGCGCGCGTGCCAAAGCAAAAGAGAGGTTGATAGGTAGCCTGGGAAGAAATAAAAAACGTGACCAGTCCAGAAATCAACGCCAACAACACTATCAATTACCGGAAACACGATTTTAAGAATAAAATCTGATTTCTAAAAATCCAAGCGACCAAAGTAGAAAGGGGCTTTGGTCTAAACCTACCCCGTATATCATCGTAGGTACTGGAGCAGGGTAGCGAAGGAAAATATGATTACAGATGCGAGGAGGAGAGGATAAGGAAGGAGAGAAAGAAGGAAAGAGGAAAAAGAGGAGTCCATAAAATTCATGGGGCAACGATATTTAATGACACAATTGCTATTCGATCCAGAACTCATGGCAGCAGTTTCTGATTTCTGCACTGATTTTTTTTCTCCATCTGCGGAACTAATCTGGGCTTTGGTTTAGTTTTCATTCGACTATAGGCATTTTAAAAGGATTGTTCATAGCAACGTCGCTTGCCTAATGTGTTGATTTGCAGAGACCAGTTCAGAGTGGTCTATGGAGAAGGAGAGCAAATAAAGTGATCATATCTTGCGAAGAAACTGAACCAGATGCCATCGACTTATTCCACTATTAATGCTGCTATAATTCAGCCTTCAACATTGGCGGTGCAGCTTACGTTAATATGAAGTTTGAGATCGATAAAGTGGAATGACAGGGGAGAGGTCCGTCTAAAATGGACAAAAGGTGGATGAGGACCATCGCGCAGGTACAGTCTTATAGCTATCACATACATCTGGCACTTTTACCAACACTGAGCTCAATCAGGTATTGCCAGTCAAACTTGCTTTGTTTATCTTCTTTTTGCCATCTTGAAAAACAAAAGCTGGGGTATGTCAAGGCTGATGATGTGTATCGACCATTGTCTTGTATAAGGAGGCAAAGATGCGCTTCTTTCTTACCTGTCACATGTGGGGATATTCATGCATGGCATGCATGTAAACATTTCTACACAGCCCAGCACACACAAAGCTGGATCTTACAAATCATTCTGCATTCATGTGCCAAAAGGACATTCGTTAGCCCTCTCAATTAAAAAAAAAAAAATAGAAATGACTCGAGCTGAAAGAACAAAAAGCAATTGTCTATTGGCCAACAGGCATCATAAAAAAAGCAAATGTAGCAAATGTAGTAATGTGGCAAATGTAGCAAAGGCGCGAGTTTGGCATTTTTAGTTGAATGATTGATTGCGAAGCAACGGTTCCACAAAAGTCAGGCCCTTACATGGAGGACATGGATTCAATCTTTCACCTCTCATCCTTTTCATCATCTTTTATTCTTCATCCTTCATCCTCCACAGCAAACGATTACCATTGCATTTCTTTTTTGTAGGTTTGAACTTTTTGAATTATACGTGCATGTAAGAGCAATGTAAACATGTCTGGGACATGAATGAAAACACTATTTCCGCTCAGAACTAACAAACAGTCCTTTGACGACCATTCTTCTTTCAAGGACGTTGAGGTAGACTACAATACTACAGTTCAAGGGCAAACGCAAAAGCAATAAAGCATGTTTGGTAGCACCAATTCACCTTCACGGAGTGCACTCTCGCCATCACAGGCCTTGAAACTCTTCAATTTCTACATGCAAGGCACTCGCACCATAGACGACGATCGCATCCTAGTGACAGAGCTATGCCTCGATGCTGACTCTGTGCTGTCTCGTATTCAGAAGCCTGCAAAAAGGCCCCTCACTTCAACGACTTCAACCTCTTTGACCTCTTCAGGTTCCAATGAAGACATGGTATTGCGTCAAGATATTGGCTCAGCCTACTATCAACTTGCTCGCTTATTTGATCAATTGGGTCACTCAGCTGATGCACAAAGACGAGACAAGAAGGCAGAGAAATGGGGATACATCCGAGGGAGCAACAACAACGACAGCAATAACAGTATTATCGCTGTTAACCAACAAGTCAGCGAATCCAAGATGATGGAGCCAGTGCGATTCACACCAGTACAGGCCATCACAACTATTTCGAAGGACATATTCAACCACAATGAATCTCCAACAGTCATCAGGTACAACTTACCAGATGTTGATGCAAGTCTGGATAACATCTGGCAGCTTGCATATTGTCTCAGTCTGTTTCCTACTGCTTCTATCCAAACAAATGACCTTAATAACCATGAGAAAGAGTGGCAGCAGGCCATATCAAGCAATCAAGATGAGCATGATCGATTGCGTAAACTGAGATCGGATGTGATTGAACTGTTCATCAGCGATGAGATTAAGGCCGAAGCTACTGTTGCTGAGGTTGTGGCTCTGGCTCCAGTTCTCGACCAAACACAGTTCAGAGCACTGCTTGCAGCTTTGATCAATGGAATCAGGCAAAACGTCATACTGGAGACACATTTGCTAGAAGGATTGGCCCAATTGATGCGACATGCTCCTCTTGGATATCTCGATTCGGATGATCTTGTTTCAATCCTCGATAGTCTTAATTCTCGCTTGCAAAGCATACATAGCCAATCTGAAGATCATCTCTATCGCATCTCGGCTACAGTCTCACATGTGCTCGATGCCATGGTGGACAACCAAGTCAAGGGTCTGAAGCGAGAACAACTCCATGAGCCACTTGCTACATACCTCAAGGGACTGAAAGAGAGTTCAGACCCTCATCTGGTCTATCAGGCAGCTTATGCGTTCCAAGCTTTATTGTATGTTCCAGACGACGAATCAACCATACAAGCCATGCTCCGACGGACATCATCAGTGCTCCGAGGAGTGTTTGGAGTAGTGAGTGCGCTCAAAGACATGGATATGAATGCCTTTATGGATGAGATAAGCAACATCCAGAAAGGACTTCCATCAGTGACAGATATCATGGACAAGAGTCTGCAGATGTACAAGGAAGCAACATCACTCTATGAGAGCGGATCATTGTTCAGAGAGTGTATGGAAGAAGGACTGGGCTTCAGTCGCAAGTCAGGATGGTATCCAGCACTTCGAGTAGCTGATGGACTACTCCAGACAGGCGAACTGACCAAGTTCAAGACTCTTGTATGTGAAGTCTCCTGTCGAAATGAAGCAGCATTCCAATGGGGACTATGTCAAAGACTGGGACAGATAGCAGCAGATACACAATGGAGCATGGATACTCGACAAGATGCCATCACATTTCTAGGAGAGATATACAGTAATGACAAGGAGTGGGGATACCATCCACACATTAAGCAATGGATCATAAATATTCTTAGACAACTATCCTCGTTACCACCAGATGGTTTCCAAGGCATGTATTTCATTCTTGTATGGATAATGTTTGGTGACGATGGTGTTAATCATTATATACTAACCCACATACTCTATACATCTTTTCACTCCTTCTTTTTGTTCACATTTATTCCAGCTGCAAACACTCTTCTGGATGATCTCAAGATGGATGGGGATGACAAAAAACAAGAACTATATAGCACTTGCCTTCAAGAGCCGTTGATCCAGTTCTCCTCTGTTGTTACTCTCTCTCGACCTGAATATTCCTATTTGCTTGATCGTGCACAGAAGAAGTCTGGTGTTGAGGACAGTATACGCCAATTGAAGAGACGGCGAATGGAGGATGGAAATAGTCAAGGGTTCTATATCCAACAATATGCTAAAGCGAGTCCTCAAGCAAGCGGAGACAAGTTGTTCCTGTTGATGGACAAAGTGAAAGAGTTCCTAGATAGTGAGCAGAAAGTGATGCTTGTGCAAGGAGATTCAGGAGCAGGCAAATCCACATTCAACCATGCTCTGGAGTGCACACTCTGGGAGACATACCAAAAGAGATATGGTCGGATCCCACTATTTATCAATCTTCCAGCCATTGACAAACCAGAGAAGGATCTGGTTGCAAAGCAGCTGCAAGATTATGGCTTCACAGACTCAGAGATTAAGGAATTGAAGGTGAATCGGTCATTTGTGTTGATATGTGATGGATATGATGAGAGCATGCAGACCAACAACCTGTATGTTGCCAACCAACTGAATAAGGCTGGAGAGTGGAAGTGTCAGATGGTGATCAGTTGTCGCAGTGAATATCTTGGATCGGACTATCGAGATCGATTTCAACCTATGGACCGTAACCACCAAGCAGATAGTGGATTGTTCCAAGAGGCAGTGATTGTACCATTTACTGAGGCACAGATCGAAGATTATATCGAACAATATGTCGATTCTATGGACTTACTATGGGGTGTGGAGGACTATAAGGCTGCACTCAAGATGATCCCTAGCTTACAAGAGCTTGTGAAGAACCCATTCATACTATCGATGACACTAGAAGTACTCCCACGGATGGTGGATCCAGGACAAGAGATCACCAAGAGCAAGATCAAGCGGGTCACATTGTATGACCAGTTTGTTGAGCAGTGGCTGGAACGAGGCAAGAAGCGACTAAGCGAGACATTAAGACCAGAGGATAGGGGGATGTTCCGAGTGTTGACAGATGAAGGATTTGCAGAGAATGGAATCAAGTACCTGACAGAGCTGGCTATAGCGATCTATAAGCATCAAGATGGCAATCCAGTGGTGGAGTACTCGGAGTACAAGGATAAGGGTACATGGAAAGAAGCGTACTTCAGCAAAGAGAATAGAAGGAACCTGTTACGTGAGGCATCACCACTCACCCGTACAGGGAATCAGCATCGGTTTCTCCATCGATCTATTCTGGAGTACAGTCTGGTGCGGGCGATATTTGATCCGCAGCCAGCAGCGGTCATTTCTACAAGTGATGAAGTAAATGCAATCACATCGCTCTCTCGTCGACGGAGTGTTAGTTCAGTGTTTAGTTTTGAAGGCATGGATATAATGGAGAGCGAGCAAGAAGTGGATGTGGTCCAAGCTGATGAGACATCACCTTTAGTATGGAGGAGTTTTGTAGATGAACCATCTATTCTTCAGTTCCTAGAGGATCGTGTCCGTCTAGAGCCGGTGTTCAAGCAACAGCTATATGGATATGTAGAACTCTCGAAGAGCCATAGCAAGTGGAGGATAGCAGCAGCGAATGCGATGACAATCTTGGTCCGATCAGGCGAGTCATTCATCAGAGCAGACCTGCGAGGCATTCAGATTCCAGGAGCAGATGTCAGCCATGGTATTTTCGAGTATGCTCAGCTACAAGGAGCAGATCTGAGGAAGGTCAACTTACGAAAATGCTGGCTTCGAGAAGCAAACCTGAGTGGAGCAAAGATGGCAGATGTACAATTTGGAGAGTGGCCACTTCTTGAAGCAAGTGGCAAGGTATTGTATGGGTCATATTCGCCTGATGGCAAGACGCTCGCTGCAGTTGCCGCAGATGAATCAGAAAAGTGTTCAATCATCGTATATGACACATCAAGATGGGAGAAGCTTTGGACTTTGGTGGATGATGAAATCGGAAACTACCTTTTATATTCACCAGACAGCAGGTATATTGCCATCTGGGGCATTCTTCAAACGGCAATTTTAGTTTGGGATGCAACATCAGGAGCATTAGTTCGCAGATTAGTGGGCCATACAAAGCTTGTCCGCTGTGTAGCGTACTCACCAAGCGGGAACGACCTTGCCTCAGCTAGCGATGATTGCTCAGTGCGAGTGTGGGACACCCAAACAGGCATCCTCAAATTTATGTTAGAGGAGCATGGTGGTCCTGTGTGGGCTGTGGCATATTCGCCTGATGGAAAGCAGATTGCAACTGGCGGCGAAGACAAGAGATTGCGGTTGTGGGATGCGACATCGGGGCAACAGTCGATGTTGGTGATGGAAAATGAGAGTGAGATTGGACGGGTTGTATATTCACCTAATGGCCAGGAAATCATTACTCTTTGTAACGACGCTCATGTGTGGGATGTTGGAACTGGCCAAAAGAAGTTTAGTTTAGAGCATGGTAATTCTGTCGGAAGGATACAGTATTCACCTAACGGAAAGTTCGCTGCTTCATCCACCTATGACACGGTATATCAGTGGGATATGCAAACAGGAGAAGTCATTCATATCATCGAAAAAACATTTTTTTTAATCGCTAATGTAAAGTATTCACCAACCGGAGAAACGATAGCCGTTTGCGATTTGGGTAACCCAATAATGCTTTTGGATGCGAGAACAGGACAACCCATGAATTCCTTCCACGGTCATTCTGGGATAATAAACTGCTTGGCATATTCACCAACCAACCACCAGATTGCGTCCTTCAGTTATGACGGAACGATACGTCTTTGGGATACTCGACCGCAACAATCCAGTCATGACTTACATAGCTATTCATCAAGTATCTTTGGCGTCAGGATCTCGCTGAATGGGCAGCAAGTAGCTTCATGGAGTAGCAATGGAACGTTAAGCATGTGGGATTCAAAGACAGGACAGCCCATTCACGTTTTACAATGCCGCGATGAATATATAAAAGATACCAAGTATTCACCTGATGGCCAGTTGCTTGCCTCTTTACCTATACATTACTCTCTACGCGTCTATCTTTGGGATGTCCGAACGGGCGTACTCGTTCACACTTTGGAGCTACAAGGTGAAGGTGCTGATGATACCATTGCCTTTGATTTCTCACCCACTGGCCACCAAATTGTCTGTGGCCATGGATCTGGAGATGTGACTCTATGGAACACACAAACAGGAGAGCTCATCCGCACACTACATGGCCACAAAGCAGAGGTGCATAATGTGATGTTCTCACCCAATGGCGACCAGATTGCTTCGTACGATCACGATGGAAATCTCAAAGTTTGGAAAGCTCAATCAGGAGACCTCCAGCATGAAATGAGTGATGAAGCAAGCCCGGGCTCTTATATCGTATACACGCCTGACAGCCGAAAGATAGCGTGGTTACGCGACGTTGAGCAGAAGAGCTTGACAGTATGGAGTGCGGAGACGGGTGAACTCTGTTACGAAACACAGTTTGACAAAAATACAGATCGTGTAGCATTTTCACCATGCAGTCAACAGATGGCTGTTGGAGATGAGAAAGGGCTGGTTAGTGTGGTGGATACTGAAACAGGGTCAATACTGTGTGTGCTTAAAGAACACACCAGCTCCATCACTGGTATGGCTTATTCACCTGATGGAAGATACCTTGCCTCAAGCAGTAGCGACAGGTCAGTGCGAGTGTGGGATCCGAAATCAGGCCAGTGTTTGATTGTAATGCCATTTGAAGGCGGAGCTGTTTCCACGCTTGTATGGAATGCCTCTGGAGAGGGCCACTATTTGGTTACAGGCTCTTGGGATGGTTCTATTCGGATGTGGCAGATTGTGAAGATGGATGAAGAACATCAATACCACCTAAAGTGGAGCACAATACAAACGGTCATTAATGCAAATAACGCTCGTATTCAAGATGTAGATGGGTTGAGTGAAGTCAGCAGGAAGCTTCTAGTGCAGCGTGGAGCTATAGACAAGCAATGCTCCTCTTTGGCTGTACATGAGACGATCAAGAGTGTAGGAACGCCATCAATAGCATCCGAGGCCCAGAGTGCGTCCAATCAAGTGGGCCATTGCCAAGAACCATCAATAAAGGCAGATTCAGAGGCAGGAGGTCTGAGCGAAGAAGCACCATTGACAAGATTGGCAGAAACAAACCAGTCGATAGGGAGTTACCTGCTCAAATGCAGTGTGTGCAACGAATGTGATATTGCACATATCATCTCATGCGAGCCTCACGAGTAAAGAGGATGGATATTCAGAAAGTCGCTTGGAGTATAAAATAAAGTGCTGATATAGAGTGTTGATAGATAGCGTTTTCATGAAAAAGAAAGTGCTTTTCTGGATAAAATAGGGTGCCTTGAGAAGGGCTGTTTGTGTTTGTAAAACAATGTTTAACAACTATTTCTATATTCTTAAGGTCTGGATAGCCCCAGCCTGAAGAAGTAAATTATGTCACTGCTTTCAACGTTCGATATTTGTTCTAGACGATCATGCATGCCAAGTAGGCTGGGCTACATTCTCTGGGTCCTTGACATGAAAGATGCCTAATCTCTATTGATGTACAATAAAAACGATATCGTACTAATGATTATGTAGCTGTGTACTTTTTGCTGATGTTCAATGTTGGGGACATGTTTACAAACAGAATAGGGAAAAGGAGCCCCGTTGACGACGAAGGGCTCATTTATATCCACATGTATTGTAACGTTGAGGCACTCTGTGACTTTGTAGAGCAGTCTGCCTATTGTCCATGTTTTGTCCATAAACACCGCTTTGCCATTCAACTGTGGGTATAAAGGTGATCGAATATAAAAGTATATCCCCAAGCTAAGCATGATGATGATTTTAATTTTTTTTTTATTGATAGGCCAATGATGGCGAATATAGCCATTATCTGCATTGCTTTTTTCCATGTTAAACCAGATACAGTCCGCGAAATTAGTTTGGACTTTTGGTTTAGTTGATGTAGACCATCCTGTTACCGATAGGTTCTTGTTCCCGTGTATTGATTTGAAAGTAACAATGGCGGTAATAGCTGTAGTAGCGGTAGGAGTAAGGGCGGTGGTTGCTTCCCTCGCTACAGTTGACATTGAAAGACGGGTTTGAAAAAAGAGAGAAAAGAAAAAAAGAGAAAAGGGTTTTATTAAGCATTGTACTTGCGATTAGATGGCGGAGTATTTGAGTGGCTTCAATGATTGGACAAATACGCACTCTTCCTCTTAAACAAACCTTCATCCACAAGTCTGCACACGTCTACCCAAGAAGCAAATGGTGGCAATGAAAAAAAAATCTTTTACTATAGATTTGTCCCTGACTTGTTTCCTTTCTCCAAAGGCTTCTCCAAAGGCTTCTCTGAACTGGGTCCTGCATAAATCGGCAAGTGACATCGCTGTAAAGCTGATATCACCTTGGCAAACTGATGGCAACAAGATTCGAAAACTACACTAGTGATGATTGTTCAAAGATTATCATTTCCTTGCAAAGAGATGAGGGAGTAATAGTTTCTCTCCAGCCTGATATTCTTTTTTTTTTTTTTTTTTTTTTTTTTTTTTCACTTTGGTAAGCATGCACCGTTTAGGATTTTATTGTGTTACAGCGCATGGCCAACTAGACCGCACATAAATCCCAGGTCAGCCATTTTTTTGGGCATGTTCAAACCCATTGCCCTCGACAATGAGCTTGGTGGGAAGGGAAAATGATTCCGCCATGATTGATCACTCTTTGGTCTGTAGTTTGTAGACAATGTGGATCAGTCAGTAGAGGGAACAAGGGTATCATGAGCGAATGAGTAGTTGCATTACATTAATTGTAATCATACAAGACTGAACATTCTATTTGTCGATCAATTTGTTATATCTCTTCCTTCAGATCATTGCCATGTTATGCTGCATGACGACGTCTCGCGTTATGATTAGGGCAATCATATGCGACTCATGCTCTAATAAAGTTGTGTGTTTATCGCATTGACAAATAGTCCTCAGCTTCTTTGCCTCTTATGTAGCAAGCTAAAACTTTTTTTTTTTTTTTTTTTTTATCGATATCTAAATCAAGTCAACTATTGTATGTCTGCCCATCTCCAGTTAAAGAAGGCGTCTCGATATGATGGTCCAAGGTACCGGTTTGCAAATCCTTATTCAATAAGTACAAGTCAAAGCAAGTATATAATCTCTCTTTGTAACTGCTTATTGAGCCTCCTTAAACTTTGAATGATTGTATACCGGACATATCCAGGAAGGATCTGATGTATGTCTTTCATTCGAATATAGTCATTTTTAAAAGCTAATTTCTGTTGCCGTCTTGAAAGCAAAAGCTGGGGCATGTCAAGGCTGATGATGTGTTATCGACCATTGTCTTGTATAAGGAGGCAAAGATGCGCTTCTATCTTACCTGTCACATGTGGGGATATTCATGCATGGCATGCATGTAAACATTTCTACACAGCCCAGCACACACAAAGCTGGATCTTACAAATCATTCTGCATTCATGTGCCAAAAGGACATTCGTTAGCCCTCTCAATTAAAAAAAAAAAATAGAAATGACTCGAGCTGAAAGAACAAAAAGCAATTGTCTATTGGCCAACAGGCATCATAAAAAAAGCAAATGTAGCAAATGTAGTAATGTGGCAAATGTAGCAAAGGCGCGAGTTTGGCATTTTTAGTTGAATGATTGATTGCGAAGCAACGGTTCCACAAAAGTCAGGCCCTTACATGGAGGACATGGATTCAATCTTTCACCTCTCATCCTTTTCATCATCTTTTATTCTTCATCCTTCATCCTCCACAGCAAACGATTACCATTGCATTTCTTTTTTGTAGGTTTGAACTTTTTGAATTATACGTGCATGTAAGAGCAATGTAAACATGTCTGGGACATGAATGAAAACACTATTTCCGCTCAGAACTAACAAACAGTCCTTTGACGACCATTCTTCTTTCAAGGACGTTGAGGTAGACTACAATACTACAGTTCAAGGGCAAACGCAAAAGCAATAAAGCATGTTTGGTAGCACCAATTCACCTTCACGGAGTGCACTCTCGCCATCACAGGCCTTGAAACTCTTCAATTTCTACATGCAAGGCACTCGCACCATAGACGACGATCGCATCCTAGTGACAGAGCTATGCCTCGATGCTGACTCTGTGCTGTCTCGTATTCAGAAGCCTGCAAAAAGGCCCCTCACTTCAACGACTTCAACCTCTTTGACCTCTTCAGGTTCCAATGAAGACATGGTATTGCGTCAAGATATTGGCTCAGCCTACTATCAACTTGCTCGCTTATTTGATCAATTGGGTCACTCAGCTGATGCACAAAGACGAGACAAGAAGGCAGAGAAATGGGGATACATCCGAGGGAGCAACAACAACGACAGCAATAACAGTATTATCGCTGTTAACCAACAAGTCAGCGAATCCAAGATGATGGAGCCAGTGCGATTCACACCAGTACAGGCCATCACAACTATTTCGAAGGACATATTCAACCACAATGAATCTCCAACAGTCATCAGGTACAACTTACCAGATGTTGATGCAAGTCTGGATAACATCTGGCAGCTTGCATATTGTCTCAGTCTGTTTCCTACTGCTTCTATCCAAACAAATGACCTTAATAACCATGAGAAAGAGTGGCAGCAGGCCATATCAAGCAATCAAGATGAGCATGATCGATTGCGTAAACTGAGATCGGATGTGATTGAACTGTTCATCAGCGATGAGATTAAGGCCGAAGCTACTGTTGCTGAGGTTGTGGCTCTGGCTCCAGTTCTCGACCAAACACAGTTCAGAGCACTGCTTGCAGCTTTGATCAATGGAATCAGGCAAAACGTCATACTGGAGACACATTTGCTGGAAGGATTGGCCCAGTTGATACACATGCTCCTCTTGGATATCTCGACTCGGATGATCTTGTTTCAATCCTCATACTCTTAATTCTCGCTTGCAAAGCACACATAGCCAATCTGAAGACATCTCTATCGCCTCTCAGCTACAGTCTCACATGTCCTCGATGCCATGGTCAACAACCAAGTCAAGGGTCTGAAGCGAGAACAACTCCATGAGCCACTTGCTGCATACCTCAAGGGACTGAAAGAGAGTTCAGACCCTCATCTGGTCTATCAAGCAGCTTATGCTTCCAAGCTCTATTGTATATTCCAGACGACGAACAACCATACAAGCCATGCTCCGACGGACATCATCAGTACTCCGAGGAGTGTTTGGAGTAGTGAGTGCGTCAAAGACATGGATATGAATGCCTTTATGGATGAGATAAGCAACATCCAGAAAGGACTTCCATCAGTGACAGATATCATGGACAAGAGTCTGCAGGTGTACAAGGAAGCAACATCACTCTATGAGAGCGGAGCAGATTCAGAGAGTGTATGGAAGAAGGACTGAGCTTCAGTCGCAAGTCAGGATGGTATCCAGCACTTCGAGTAGCTGATGGACTACTCCAGAGAGGCGAACTGACCAGGTTCAAGACTCTTGTGTGTGAAGTCTCCTGTCGAAATGAAGCAGCATTCCAATGGGGACTATGTCAAAGACTGGGACAGATAGCAGCAGATACAAAGTGGAGCATGGATATTCGCAAGATGCCACCACATTCCTAGGAGAGATATACAGGAATGATTAGGAATGGGGATACCATACACACATTAAGCAGTGGATCGTAAATATACTTAGGCAACTATCCTCGTTATCACCAGATGGTTTTCAAGGTATACATTTCATTCTTGTATGGATATGTCTGATGACGATGAGGCAGTCATTATATACTAACCCATATACTCTATACATGCTTTCGCTCCTTCATCTGTTCTCGTTTATTTCAGCTGCAGCACTCTTTTGAATGATCTCAAGATGGATGGAGATGACAAAAAACAAGAACTATACAGGATTCTCTTCAAGAGCCCATTGATACAGTTCTCCTCTGTTGCTACACTCTCTCGACCTGAATCCTCACAATTACTTGATCGTGTACAGAAGAAGTCTGGTGTTGAGGATAGTCTACGGCAACTAAAGAGACGGCGGATAGATGGGAATAATCAAAGGTTCTATGTCAACAGTATGCCAAAGCAAGTCCTCAGCAAGCAATGAAGAGCGTTCTTGTTGATGGACAAAGTGAAAGAGTTCTTAGAGCGAGCAGAAAGTGATGCTTGTGCAAGGAGAATCAGGAGCAGGCAAATCCACATTCAACCGTGCTCTGGAGCGCATACTCTGGGAGACATACCAAAAGAGACATGGCCCAATCCCACTATTTATCAACCTTCCAGCCATCGACAAGCCAGAGAAGGACCTAGTTGCAAAGCAGCTGCGAGATTACGGATTCACAGGATTAGAGATCAAGGAACTGAAGATGAATCAGTCATTTGTTTTGATCTGTGATGGATATGATGAGAGCATGCAGACCAACAATCTGTATGCAGCCAACCAACTGAATAAGGCTGGAGAATGGAAATGTCAGATGGTGATCAGTTGTCGCAGTGAGTATCTTGGATCGGATTATCGAGACCGGTTCCAACCTATGGACCGCAACCATCAAGCAGACAGTGGATTGTTCCAAGAGGCAGTGATTGTGCCATTCTCAGAGGCGCAGATTGAAGACTATATCGAACAATATGTCAATTCCATGGATCTACTGTGGGGTGTGGAGGACTATAAGGGTGCACTCAAGATGGTCCCTAGCTTACAAGAGCTTGTGAAGAACCCATTCATACTATCGATGTCACTAGAAGTACTTCCACGAATGGTGGATCCAGGTCGAGCGATCTCCAGCAGCAAGATCAAGCGGGTCACACTGTACGACCAGTTTGTTGAGCAGTGGCTGGAACGAGGCAAGAAGCGATTAAGCGAGACATTAAGACCAGAGGATAGAAGGATGTTCCAGATATTGACAGATGAAGGGTTTTGCACAGCATGGGGTCAAGTACCTGACAGAGCTGGCTGTAGCGATCTATAAGCATCAAGATGGCAATCCAGTGGTGGAGTACTCGCCATTCAAGGATATGAGTACATGGAAAGAAGCGTACTTCAGCAAAGAGAATAGAAGGAACCTGTACGTGAGGCATCACCACTCACCGTACAGGGAATCACATCGGTTTCTCCATCGATCTATTCTGGAGTACAGTCTGGTGCGGCGATATTTGATCCGCAGCCAGCAGCGGTCATTCTACAAGTGATGAAGTAAATGCAATCACATCGCTCTCTCGTCGACGAGTGTTAGTTCAGTGTTTAGTTTTGAAGGCATGGATATAAGGGAGCGAGCAAGAAGTGGATGTGGTCAAGCTGATGAGACATCACCTTTAGTATGGAGGAGTTTTGTAGATGAACCATCTATTCTTCAGTTCCTGGAGGATCGTGTCCGTCTTGAGCCGGTGTTCAAGCAACAGCTTTATGGATATGTAGAACTCTCGAAGAGCATAGCAAGTGGGGATAGCAGCAGCGAATGCGATGACAATCTTGGTCCGATCAGGCGAGTCATTCATCAGAGCAGACCTGCGAGGCATTCAGATTCCAGGAAGCAGATGTCAGCCATGGTATTTTCGAGTATGCTCAGCTACAAGGAGCAGATCTGAGGAAGGTCAACTTACGAAAATGCTGGCTTCGAGAAGCAAACCTGAGTGGAGCAAAGATGGCAGATGTACAATTTGGAGAGTGGCCACTTCTTGAAGCAAGTGGCAAGGTATTGTATGGGTCATATTCGCCTGATGGCAAGACGCTCGCTGCAGTTGCCGCAGATGAATCAGAAAAGTGTTCAATCATCGTATATGACACATCAAGATGGGAGAAGCTTTGGGACTTTGGTGGATGATGAAATCGGAAACTACCTTTTATATTCACCAGACAGCAGGTATATTGCCATCTGGGGCATTCTTCAAACGGCAATTTTAGTTTGGGATGCAACATCAGGAGCATTAGTTCGCAGATTAGTGGGCCATACAAAGCTTGTCCGCTGTGTAGCGTACTCACCAAGCGGGAACGACCTTGCCTCAGCTAGCGATGATTGCTCAGTGCGAGTGTGGGACACCCAAACAGGCATCCTCAAATTTATGTTAGAGGAGCATGGTGGTCCTGTGTGGGCTGTGGCATATTCGCCTGATGGAAAGCAGATTGCAACTGGCGGCGAAGACAAGAGATTGCGGTTGTGGGATGCGACATCGGGGGCAACAGTCGATGTTGGTGATGGAAAATGAGAGTGAGATTGGACGGGTTGTATATTCACCTAATGGCCAGGAAATCATTACTCTTTGTAACGACGCTCATGTGTGGGATGTTGGAACTGGCCAAAAGAAGTTTAGTTTAGAGCATGGTAATTCTGTCGGAAGGATACAGTATTCACCTAACGGAAAGTTCGCTGCTTCATCCACCTATGACACGGTATATCAGTGGGATATGCAAACAGGAGAAGTCATTCATATCATCGAAAAAACATTTTTTTTAATCGCTAATGTAAAGTATTCACCAACCGGAGAAACGATAGCCGTTTGCGATTTGGGTAACCCAATAATGCTTTTGGATGCGAGAACAGGACAACCCATGGAATTCCTTCCACGGTCATTCTGGGATAATAAACTGCTTGGCATATTCACCAACCAACCACCAGATTGCGTCCTTCAGTTATGACGGAACGATACGTCTTTGGGATACTCGACCGCAACAATCCAGTCATGACTTACATAGCTATTCATCAAGTATCTTTGGCGTCAGGATCTCGCTGAATGGGCAGCAAGTAGCTTCATGGAGTAGCAATGGAACGTTAAGCATGTGGGATTCAAAGACAGGACAGCCCATTCACGTTTTACAATGCCGCGATGAATATATAAAAGATACCAAGTATTCACCTGATGGCCAGTTGCTTGCCTCTTTACCTATACATTACTCTCTACGCGTCTATCTTTGGGATGTCCGAACGGGCGTACTCGTTCACACTTTGGAGCTACAAGGTGAAGGTGCTGATGATACCATTGCCTTTGATTTCTCACCCACTGGCCACCAAATTGTCTGTGGCCATGGATCTGGAGATGTGACTCTATGGAACACACAAACAGGAGAGCTCATCCGCACACTACATGGCCACAAAGCAGAGGTGCATAATGTGATGTTCTCACCCAATGGCGACCAGATTGCTTCGTACGATCACGATGGAAATCTCAAAGTTTGGAAAGCTCAATCAGGAGACCTCCAGCATGAAATGAGTGATGAAGCAAGCCCGGGCTCTTATATCGTATACACGCCTGACAGCCGAAAGATAGCGTGGTTACGCGACGTTGAGCAGAAGAGCTTGACAGTATGGAGTGCGGAGACGGGTGAACTCTGTTACGAAACACAGTTTGACAAAAATACAGATCGTGTAGCATTTTCACCATGCAGTCAACAGATGGCTGTTGGAGATGAGAAAGGGCTGGTTAGTGTGGTGGATACTGAAACAGGGTCAATACTGTGTGTGCTTAAAGAACACACCAGCTCCATCACTGGTATGGCTTATTCACCTGATGGAAGATACCTTGCCTCAAGCAGTAGCGACAGGTCAGTGCGAGTGTGGGATCCGAAATCAGGCCAGTGTTTGATTGTAATGCCATTTGAAGGCGGAGCTGTTTCCACGCTTGTATGGAATGCCTCTGGAGAGGGCCACTATTTGGTTACAGGCTCTTGGGATGGTTCTATTCGGATGTGGCAGATTGTGAAGATGGATGAAGAACATCAATACCACCTAAAGTGGAGCACAATACAAACGGTCATTAATGCAAATAACGCTCGTATTCAAGATGTAGATGGGTTGAGTGAAGTCAGCAGGAAGCTTCTAGTGCAGCGTGGAGCTATAGACAAGCAATGCTCCTCTTTGGCTGTACATGAGACGATCAAGAGTGTAGGAACGCCATCAATAGCATCCGAGGCCCAGAGTGCGTCCAATCAAGTGGGCCATTGCCAAGAACCATCAATAAAGGCAGATTCAGAGGCAGGAGGTCTGAGCGAAGAAGCACCATTGACAAGATTGGCAGAAACAAACCAGTCGATAGGGAGTTACCTGCTCAAATGCAGTGTGTGCAACGAATGTGATATTGCACATATCATCTCATGCGAGCCTCACGAGTAAAGAGGATGGATATTCAGAAAGTCGCTTGGAGTATAAATAAAGTGCTGATATAGAGTGTTGATAGATAGCGTTTTCATGAAAAAGAAAGTGCTTTTCTGGATAAAATAGGGTGCCTTGAGAAGGGCTGTTTGTGTTTGTAAAACAATGTTTAACAACTATTTCTATATTCTTAAGGTCTGGATAGCCCCAGCCTGAAGAAGTAAATTATGTCACTGCTTTCAACGTTCGATATTTGTTCTAGACGATCATGCATGCCAAGTAGGCTGGGCTACATTCTCTGGGTCCTTGACATGAAAGATGCCTAATCTCTATTGATGTACAATAAAAACGATATCGTACTAATGATTATGTAGCTGTGTACTTTTTGCTGATGTTCAATGTTGGGGACATGTTTACAAACAGAATAGGGAAAAGGAGCCCCGTTGACGACGAAGGGCTCATTTATATCCACATGTATTGTAACGTTGAGGCACTCTGTGACTTTGTAGAGCAGTCTGCCTATTGTCCATGTTTTGTCCATAAACACCGCTTTGCCATTCAACTGTGGGTATAAAGGTGATCGAATATAAAAGTATATCCCCAAGCTAAGCATGATGATGATTTTAATTTTTTTTTTATTGATAGGCCAATGATGGCGAATATAGCCATTATCTGCATTGCTTTTTTCCATGTTAAACCAGATACAGTCCGCGAAATTAGTTTGGACTTTTGGTTTAGTTGATGTAGACCATCCTGTTACCGATAGGTTCTTGTTCCCGTGTATTGATTTGAAAGTAACAATGGCGGTAATAGCTGTAGTAGCGGTAGGAGTAAGGGCGGTGGTTGCTTCCCTCGCTACAGTTGACATTGAAAGACGGGTTTGAAAAAAGAGAGAAAAGAAAAAAAGAGAAAAGGGTTTTATTAAGCATTGTACTTGCGATTAGATGGCGGAGTATTTGAGTGGCTTCAATGATTGGACAAATACGCACTCTTCCTCTTAAACAAACCTTCATCCACAAGTCTGCACACGTCTACCCAAGAAGCAAATGGTGGCAATGAAAAAAAAATCTTTTACTATAGATTTGTCCCTGACTTGTTTCCTTTCTCCAAAGGCTTCTCCAAAGGCTTCTCTGAACTGGGTCCTGCATAAATCGGCAAGTGACATCGCTGTAAAGCTGATATCACCTTGGCAAACTGATGGCAACAAGATTCGAAAACTACACTAGTGATGATTGTTCAAAGATTATCATTTCCTTGCAAAGAGATGAGGGAGTAATAGTTTCTCTCCAGCCTGATATTCTTTTTTTTTTTTTTTTTTTTTTTTTTTTTTTCACTTTGGTAAGCATGCACCGTTTAGGATTTTATTGTGTTACAGCGCATGGCCAACTAGACCGCACATAAATCCCAGGTCAGCCATTTTTTTGGGCATGTTCAAACCCATTGCCCTCGACAATGAGCTTGGTGGGAAGGGAAAATGATTCCGCCATGATTGATCACTCTTTGGTCTGTAGTTTGTAGACAATGTGGATCAGTCAGTAGAGGGAACAAGGGTATCATGAGCGAATGAGTAGTTGCATTACATTAATTGTAATCATACAAGACTGAACATTCTATTTGTCGATCAATTTGTTATATCTCTTCCTTCAGATCATTGCCATGTTATGCTGCATGACGACGTCTCGCGTTATGATTAGGGCAATCATATGCGACTCATGCTCTAATAAAGTTGTGTGTTTATCGCATTGACAAATAGTCCTCAGCTTCTTTGCCTCTTATGTAGCAAGCTAAAACTTTTTTTTTTTTTTTTTTTTTTATCGATATCTAAATCAAGTCAACTATTGTATGTCTGCCCATCTCCAGTTAAAGAAGGCGTCTCGATATGATGGTCCAAGGTACCGGTTTGCAAATCCTTATTCAATAAGTACAAGTCAAAGCAAGTATATAATCTCTCTTTGTAACTGCTTATTGAGCCTCCTTAAACTTTGAATGATTGTATACCGGACATATCCAGGAAGGATCTGATGTATGTCTTTCATTCGAATATAGTCATTTTTAAAAGCTAATTTCTGTTGCCGTCTTGAAAGCAAAAGCTGGGGCATGTCAAGGCTGATGATGTGTATCGACCATTGTCTTGTATAAGGAGGCAAAGATGCGCTTCTATCTTACCTGTCACATGTGGGGATATTCATGCATGGCATGCATGTAAACATTTCTACACAGCCCAGCACACACAAAGCTGGATCTTACAAATCATTCTGCATTCATGTGCCAAAAGGACATTCGTTAGCCCTCTCAATTAAAAAAAAAAAAATAGAAATGACTCGAGCTGAAAGAACAAAAAGCAATTGTCTATTGGCCAACAGGCATCATAAAAAAAGCAAATGTAGCAAATGTAGTAATGTGGCAAATGTAGCAAAGGCGCGAGTTTGGCATTTTTAGTTGAATGATTGATTGCGAAGCAACGGTTCCACAAAAGTCAGGCCCTTACATGGAGGACATGGATTCAATCTTTCACCTCTCATCCTTTTCATCATCTTTTATTCTTCATCCTTCATCCTCCACAGCAAACGATTACCATTGCATTTCTTTTTTGTAGGTTTGAACTTTTTGAATTATACGTGCATGTAAGAGCAATGTAAACATGTCTGGGACATGAATGAAAACACTATTTCCGCTCAGAACTAACAAACAGTCCTTTGACGACCATTCTTCTTTCAAGGACGTTGAGGTAGACTACAATACTACAGTTCAAGGGCAAACGCAAAAGCAATAAAGCATGTTTGGTAGCACCAATTCACCTTCACGGAGTGCACTCTCGCCATCACAGGCCTTGAAACTCTTCAATTTCTACATGCAAGGCACTCGCACCATAGACGACGATCGCATCCTAGTGACAGAGCTATGCCTCGATGCTGACTCTGTGCTGTCTCGTATTCAGAAGCCTGCAAAAAGGCCCCTCACTTCAACGACTTCAACCTCTTTGGCCTCTTCAGGTTCCAATGAAGACATGGTATTGCGTCAAGGTATTGGCTCAGCCTACTATCAACTTGCTCGCTTATTCGAGCAATTGGGTCACTCAGCTGATGCACAAAGACGAGACAGGAAGGCAGAGAAATGGGGATACATCCAAGGGACCCATGACGATAGCACAACTAAACAAAAAGATAGCGAGGGCAGTAATCGAGTTATACCAACACATACCACTGCAACTATATCAAAGGACATATTCAACCACAATGAGCTCCCAACAGTCACCAGATACAGCTTACCAGATGCCGATGCAAGTCTGAATGATGTTCAGCAACTTACATACTGCCTTAGCCTGCTTCCTACTGCTCCTTTTCCCTTAACCGATCTCACTGACACCGAAAGAGAGTGGTGCCAGGCCGTATCGGACGATCGAGATGAACATGATCGATTGCACAAATTGGCATCGGATGTGATTAGGCTATTCATTAGCGATGAAATTAAAGCAGAAGCTACTGTTGCTGAGGTTGTGGCTCTGGCTCCAGTTCTCGACCAAACCCAGTTCAGAGCACTGCTTGCGGCTTTGATCAATGGCATCAGCCAGAACATCATGCTGGGGACACATTTGCTGGAAGGACTGGCTCAGTTGATACGGCATGCTCCCCCTGGATACCTCGACTCGGACGACCTTGTCTCAATCCTCAATACTCTCAATTCTCGCTTGCAAAGTACTCATACTCAATCTGGAGACCATCTCTATCGGCTCTCAGCCACAGTCTCACATGTCCTCGATGCCATGGTCAACAACCAAGTCAAGGGTCTGAAGCGAGAACAACTCCATGAGCCACTTGCTGCATACCTCAAGGGACTGAAGGACAGTTCCGATCCTTATCTGGTCTATCAGGCAGCTTATGCGTTCCAAGCACTTCAGTATATCCCAGACGACGAATCAACCATACAAGCCATGCTCCGACAGACATTGGCAGTACTCCAAGGAATGTTTGGGGCAGTCAGTGCAGCTAAGGGTTTAGATTTAAATGGCTTCATGGATGAAATAAGCAACATACAGAAAGTATTCCCATCAGTGACAGATATCATAGATAAGAGTCTGCAGATGTACAAGGGAGCAACATCACTTTATGAAAGTGGAACGATGTTTAGAGAGTGTATGGAAGAAGGACTGAGCTTCAGTCACAAGTCAGGATGGTATCCAGTACTTCGAGTAGCTGATGGACTACTCCAGACAGGCGAACTGACCAAGTTCAAGGCTCTTGTATGTGAAGTATCCTGTCGAAATGAAGTAGCATTCCAATGGGGACTATGTCAAAGACTGGGACAGATAGCAGCAGATACAAAGTGGAGCATGGATACGCGGCAAGATGCTATCACATTGCTAGGGGAGATCTATAAGAATGATCAGGAGTGGGGCAACCATATATATATTAAGCAGTGGATCATAGGCATCCTTAGACAATTATCTTTGGTGTCGCCAAATGGCCTTCAAGGTGCGTAGCTCATTCTTTTTGATGAATGTATTTGACGACGATGACATTAATCAGTATATGGTACTTAACGTATGTAATACATACATGCCTTTCTGTATTTTTCCTAATCTCCTTTATTTCAGCTGCAAACACTCTTCTGGATGATCTCAAGATGGATGGGGATGACAAAAAACAAGAACTATATAGCACTTGCCTTCAAGAGCCGTTGATCCAGTTCTCCTCTGTTGTTACTCTCTCTCGACCTGAATATTCCTATTTGCTTGATCGTGCACAGAAGAAGTCTGGTGTTGAGGACAGTATACGCCAATTGAAGAGACGGCGAATGGAGGATGGAAATATAGTGCGTGCCAAAACTGATGCAATAAATTGCATTTTTCAACATTCATTCCTCATTCTCCTTCTTCCTCTTTATGATCTTCCCTGCCACCACCGTTTCTCATTCTCATTTGTCTCACCTCCATGGAGTCTCATCGTCATCGCCATCAGTGGCCTAATTAGCATTTAATTGCAATTTGCTTTCAGCATCTCATTGCATCTATTATGGCAATTAACAACTTCTTGTTTTTATTTATTCCTGTTACTTCTCCTTTCCCCTAACGATGTTCCCTCCTTTAGCCTTATATAACTCCCTCATCCTCTTCGGCATACCGCAGTATAGTTTGTGTAAGAATTCAGGAGGGATATGTGTCCATACGTCTTGGACTCTCTCCCAGAGATCCTCCATATTCTTTGCCTTGTCTGGATAATGATCCAACTGCACCTTCATGTATGCCCATATGTTTTCTATTGGGTTGATGTCAGGAGAGTTTGCTGGCCATTCCATGAGAGGTATCTTAGACTTTTGGATATAGGTCATTGCTATTCTTCCGGTATGAATCCTAGCATTGTCCTGCTGAAATATAAATTTGTCCTTATCCATCAAGTAGTAATCCCTGGACTTAAAGATATAATCCTTGAGAACGTCGACGTATGTTACCGAATCCACCTTCTCTTGGAGCCAGCAGCCATCGCCTGGTCCGTAGTAAGTTATACAACCCCAGAACATCATTTTGCCTCCACCGCCTTGCCTTGTCTTTTTGATATGATGTGCTCGTAGAGTTTTATCCCATCGATGCTTGTAGTAGTACTTTCTTCCGCAGGACCCAACTCTGCTAAAGATGGTCTCATCTGAGAACATGACGTTCTTCCAGTCTTCTAGAGTCCAGTCCAAGTGATCCTTTGCAAAATTATATCGAGCATAGATTTGCTTCTTCGTCAGATCAGGCTGCTTCTGTTTTACATATGCCCCCATATCATCCTGCATAAGGAACCTCCTGATGCTCGATTTACTAACCTGCACTCCTTCCCTCAATTGAACAAGTTGTTGGCCATCTTTTAGGGTCTCCAATACACCCATGTCAAAAAATCTTGATAAAAGCTGTTTCGTTTTCTTAGTAACTTTGCAGGGTCGGCCCCCTCTCAGCACTGGAATACTTTCTTTGCCTCTTTTCCTAATCCTTTGAGCTGAGGTAACAGATATCCCTAAACTCTTTGACACTTCTCTGGAAGACTTTCCCTGATGAAGTAGAGCAGTTGCATTTTGGATAGTTGATTTGGATAATGATTTCATGTTATGATAAAGATATGGCAGATATGTAGAGTGTCGCTTGGTGTATCAGTGGTGATGGTGCTATAAAGAAAGAATAAAGAATAA